AGAATTGATTGAAAATCATGTGTATTCCCGAGTTGCAATACCCCGTAGTGTTATATAAGTATGTTCGAGAAAGTTTAGGGAGATCACTCCCGCTTTATTAGATTTATTTACTTAAACAGTTATGGAAAGCGGTAGTTCAATAATATTTTGTTATGTTTTTTACTTTCTCGTATACCAAGTACAGATGAAATATTGAAATTTTGACAGTTTTCATCGTTTTACACCTCAGAACTTCATCATATACGGAGTAAAGGGGACTTATTTTAATCGGGCAAAAATAATAAATGCAGATTTATCAAAATTTCAGTGTTCTATGCGTAATCGAGTCGGAAAAACTGGGCTTTGCAATTCTGTCTTTATGTCTGTGTGTGTATGTATATCTGTAAACACGTGCTCGCGCGCGCGTGTGTGTGTGTGTGTGTGTGTGTTTTTGTATACTGTGACTAGCTGCTTGTTAGTTGATTTATGAAATATTTTCATTAAATTAATTTTATATAACAATTTGTTCACCAAAGTTGGTACAAAAATTATCTGGTGTCACTCTGATTAGGTGTAACAAACTGTCACAATAATTGATATTATTTCTGTAAAATGATAATAACTGACAAATTATAGTTTTGTACAAGAAAAATGTAATGTGCAAATGAAAATAATGCTTGCTCAATGAATAGCTATGTTCTGGTGTATAAACATAAATAAAATTGATTTAAAAATATATCGGTTGCATTTTCGTTTTTTTTTAATAACAGAATAATGCCAGTGAAAAAGTTTTAAAAGGTGAATTTTTAACTTTGCCTAAAATAGGGGGTGGGGGGAACTTTCATAAAATTATTTTTATGAAAAAGTACAAGTGTTTTTCTTTAATACCATTTTAATGTGAGGTACCTCCATTTATCTCACGAAAAGAACATACTTTGGGGGGGGGGGAGGCGTGAAGAGAAATGTTACCATCTTCCTTCACTTCCTGATGCTACAATTATCCAATCGCTTTCAACCTTATTAAGGAAAGCAGAATGGAGTTTTTCTTCTTCACAAATATTTAAAAACACTGCTATCTCACATTGTTGTTAAAGTTACACTTCGCTCTCCAGTGTTTCTTTCAGATTTTTCTCTTGAAAGTGGGGGGAGGGGGGCACTTGAGTTTTGAGGAGACGGGGGGGACACTGGTTAAATTATATGGGGCCTACTTTCTATATTAAACATATTTTCTGTTTCGTTCGGTCTAAATACTTAATTGTTAACTTATTGATGAAACCAATTTTTAAAAGTTGGCGTAATTGAACTTTAAAGATAGAGAGAAAAAAATCATACACAAAGCAAAATCCAATTATATTAAATTGAGTAGTTATAATTAAATTATATTAAAATTCATGCTTGGTTATGAAGAGGAAACTTTATTCTTTTTCAATTGTTTTCTTTCTCTTTAGTACGTCCAAATCCTCCAAACGAGAAGGGGAATAATTTGTTCCAAACTATACTTTCCTTGCCTAATTCTATCCACTGTGGAATTATCACTTCAAAGTGGTTGAATATTTATACAGTATCTTTTTTCTTAAACTATGGGAGATAACTCTGCGTTACTCTGAATATTCTGTTGAATAGTGCACCGACTTGCTATACTAAGTCGGCGTACCACTATTGGAAATGGGAAACAACTTCTGTATTTAAACTAACAAAATTCTTAAATGTAAACATATTGGCGTGGCGAGGGGCAGACCCATGGTGAACGCAAAAAAAGGATAGAGGAAAAAATTTCAAAGACATGTTGAGCTCCATAACTGTATGAAACATAATTGGAGCTGGGTTAATTTCGCATCATGCACAATTTGAATTGTGGTGATTTAGCATCACTCACACCTTCAGCCATGACGATTTTAGCATTTTTCTCCAAATGCGATTCATTATTCTCACAAAATATGTTTAAAAAATTTAAACACGCATATTCATGGTTTGGCGTCCAGAATTTTTCTGTAAGTATTAATTATTTTTGCCTCAAATAAATATTTTTACCTCAAAGAGTAATTTTAAGATGGATACACATTCCGTTCTTTGTTGGAGATATTTATATTTAGAGCTAATATTTATGTGTGTTTTGCCACTATTTTTGTGTTTACATATTTCCTGGATATTAATATCGTTTTAGAACAGGGGAAATAACTTTTCTAAAACTACTTAAACAACATTAGATTATTTCCCCTGCTGCTAGAGCACACTGGTTAAAACAGATCAATAATTGTGTTTTACCTGAACAGGAACCACAATTATAAAAACAAAAACTGGACGACTCATGTATTATTATTAAAAATACAAAACTTATGTTTTTGTGCTTAGAATAGGAGCTCAAATACAATGTAACTAAGGTAAGAAATAACAAGATGGGTTAGTTAAGCGAAGCGTGAATGTGTTCAGCTGTTCAAAATGGCTGATCGAGCAACGATTTTTTATGCAGTAAAATGTGTGCTCGGGTAGAGCACAGCACCTTCACAAGTTACAAATTGCTTCATTGGTTTTGTACCTAGACACATTCAAGACATTGGCAACGAGAAAAACACAATCACAATACAACCACAACTCTCACTTTATATATATTTAAGACATAATCCAACCCCTTTTCTGATAACAGTTCTGTGGTGTTCTCAATTTTTTTAATGCTCATTAATTATGTGGTGCTGATGAATAGAAACAACATCTCGTCTGATCTAAAGACAAGATTATCTTTTAAAAAACATTCATTTTTTTTTAGATGAGGAATAAATTAAGTTACAGCAAGACAGGTGTATATGTATATATATATATATATATATATATATATATATATATATATATATATATATATATATATATATATATATATATATATATATATATATATAAAACATTATATGTATATGCATGTCTTTAGAGAATGTGTGTTTGTGTGTATTTATACATATAGGTCTAGTGATATAGGATAGACATCTCAATCTTTAGTTCAAAGCATTACTTTTTATTTCTTGGGATACAGTCTAGTCACTCTATTGGTATATGGCCTGCGTTGTCATTTATGTACACATTACAACATTTTATGAGTGTGTCAGGAACACTAACTCTAAGTTGTCTGTGTAGCAAAAGTAATGTCCCTTAATATTTACTCAACGACGAGGATTCCTTTTTTTTTAATCAATCAATAGCAGGAAACGTGATCGATGTGATCATACTAGACCGTAACGGATCGATGTTGAAAAATCGATCGATATTTGTTTTAGAAAATTAAAAGGACTTGACAAATATTTCTTTGTGGCCCCATTGGAGCAAAGGGCTGCAATCACACCTCTCCACCTGACTCGTTACATTTTTATTGGCTGTATATTTGTAGAAAAGAATTTTTTTTAGAAATCAAAACCGAAAACAGTGTCGGTTTCTGGATTTCCAATCTACGTGTTTCAGGCTTATTGCTCACTGCACCTGAGTCAGAATATCGATGTATGCCAATAAGAATCTACTGATTAAGTAATGGATAATTTTAAACTTGATGATTACTGGGAAAATGAAAGAAGTCTCGGTCTAACCTTAGTATTCGTTAGTTTTACCGCAAATATTTTGTGTATAGAACTCTAACGCCCGTGCTTAATTTTGGGACTTTTTAATTTGAATCGCCAAAGAGATGATTATGGTTATTTTTTAGGCAACACAAAACAAATTCATTTTGTAATTTATCTTCCCTACCAATTTTTTTTTTACAAAATGCATCTAATTGTAATAGAAATTACCTGTTTTGTTTTTTTTTAAATTTATCTAACGTCGCTAAGGCACTCCTTTTTTTTTTGTACCTTTAGATTAAAATTAATTAATACTTCTTAATACTTCTTAACGATTATACTACTTTTAAAAAATTAGGTATGTTTTGCACTCCGACAAAATTTGATAACAAACTTTATTACCCCTTTTATCCCCACACAATGAACTTAACCCACCCTCGTTACAATGTCTCAAATCAAAGAAGTCCGGCCAGTACTCACCTATCTTTCACTTGTTTTACTGTATTTGTTACAATTGCTTCAATAACTGTAAATTAATTTTCTGTTTGTGTTTTTTTTTAAGACTGAATTTCAAATCCCATCAAGCAGTTAGAAAGTGAAGTAAATTGAAGTCTGTCTGTATTATCTTTAGATCATGAGCTCCATTGAGACGAACAAGCTCCACTTCCTCACTGAATATTATCCTTACCATGTGTGAGAGAGACGATAAGATACTCAGAGAGATTCAATGATGTGGCTTTCTGTGAATAAACATTGAATTTATGCATTTTTTTTAATGTGGTAAAGTAATATTTGTAAAAATCGTATAGGGGTCGTACATTAAACGTCGAACTCCAAGGGAGACTGGGGTGAGCGGGAGGGGGGGTCGACTTAAGTGACGAAGTATGACGTGAGCGGGGGGAAGGTGGGGTGAGAGTAAGATGGCATACTTTTGCACTTAAAAGGTAGCCCTCAAAATTAGATGCTAATGTTATTTCGCGCTTTTAAAAGACTTTTTGTGAATTGTTATAGAAATTAGAAAATTATTACAATACTTAGTTTTAATGAACATGTTCAGTAGGCTACATACTGTAGAAATATTTAAAAAAACCAAAAACTGCTGTTTTGAAAAGGGGGAGGGGTTAGCCGGCTAAAGTGTGGCGTCATTATAGGGGCATCTGGCTTTTTGTTACGATGGGGAGTAAAAGGTAAAATAGTATAAAGAGCGTGATGTCGTTGACGGACGAACACTTAGTGGTTTAATAGTTTAAAATCTTTTCGAATAGGGACATAGTTTTCAGATTTATAGTGATGAATCATAGTTGGCGCTTGTAGCTATAATGTAAAACAATGTACAATTTTTATTTATTTTCATTTTGTAGGATTTTTTAAAAATTAACTTTTTGCAATTAATCACTTAAAATAATAGTTTAAATACCAGGAAAAGCACAAAGCCATACGACTAGAGATTAAAATCTTGTCTAATTTTTTTCCGCTTCAGTTCAACATGTTCAGTTGCTGTTCTTTCCCAGAAATTGAAGACAAAAAACCGTTGATAATTGACGTCAAGAAGATTATAAGTGACCGGTGAGTATATGCCTCACTTCCAACCCATTTTCTGTAAACTCCGTAATACGGCTTTTTTCTATACCTCTTCTTGTGGTTAGGGTAAGGTTAACTGTCTGTATAAATACAAAGTCGACATGTATAAATGTTCAGAGTTACTTGACTTAATCCTCTTTACTACTTGTGGAACATAGGACTTTAACCATAACCTTCCATTTTGTCCTATCCTCGGCTGTTGATTTTGCAGCCTCTCAAGACATCCCTGCTGTCTTCAGTTCTCCAAGAAGACTCGGTCTCCAGGTCTGTTTAGAGCGCCCTCTCTTCCGCTTTCCCTTGGGGTTCCACTCGAGTGTCTGGTGTGTCACATTAGAATGAGCCTTTTGCAGTGTGTGTCCCACCTAGCGCTACTTCCTACAATCTTGTCATTCTTCACAAGTCTATGTTAGGCACTTTGTCCTGCCTCAATTTCAGAATCTCTCTGTGACATTTGTTCATGAGGTCTGGATCTTGTTTGTGCTGGTCTCTGTGACTCTAAGTTTCTGCTCATGTAACAAAACAGCCTTGACATTTGAATTTAGAATCCTAATGTTTGTTGTATTGGAAATAGCACAATTTTTCCACATGGGTCTCAGAACTGTGAAAACTCAGCCGGCTGTATTAATTCTAGCACGTATGTGCTTCCTGATTAGCTAATCTTGCTGCCGGGGTAGACAAAATTCCTCCACATCGTCAACATGTTTTCTTTCTATTTCAGCTCACTAACGTATCTATAAACTACACTTTTCAATGTTAATGTGACAATTTGTAGAGATTAACCATAAGTAGATAGTTCGAACTAAAAAATCAAAACTTAACCTTATCGATAAAAGTGTTTGTAAAAAACAGAAGGTATCGGTTTGAGCCTAGTATTAATATGTAGACCGTGGTCCATTTGTAACTGTAAGTAAGAGATAATTTACGCAAAAGAAAATATTTAACTCAAAACACTTCATTTATACAGTTATTTTGTTAGTTTGTGTTCTGGAGACCTTGCGACGTAGCCACAGAGATAGTGCTAAGTCTTCTGACATAGCATTAAAAAACGATATCGCCAACCACATTTTTTTTAAATGGTTTATTTTTTAAAGTAATGGCAATCCCATTTATGGCATTGGGTATAATATATTTTAACTAGGTCTTTCTTGATGGCCATTGAACTTTTAAAATAAATACATATATTTCTAAAGAATACTGTTTTTTTTTTCAATTATTGAGGCTCTATATTCTACGACTTTACGTGTCAATGTATTAATAATACTATAATGATTTAAAATTATTTATATTGTCCTCGCTAGTGTGGATTTTTTCAGTGTTTAGGAAATAAAATCTCGGCGTTATTTTAATTAGTTCAGCTCGCTGTTTAAAATTGTGCTGGATTCTTTTCTGAAACAGTGCCTGGACAAGCTTCACGACTACTTTCGGTTTCTACAAAAACTTAACCGTGAAAAGAGAAAAATTTGACGTGGAGGTACCGGAAAATTATTTTTTATTTGAGAAAATCAGCCAAGGGCCGAAAAAAGAATTCGGCGGGAATAACGCGCTGACCACCCAGAAGCCCGCAGTGTCTGGGGATGGACCAGATCAGAAGACGGTTGAGCCAGTTGCTGACCAGACAGATGGGCTGGGGAAGGCAAAGAAGGGAGACGACTTGTGGAAATCTCCCTCACAAAATTTAGCTAAGTAGGTTTTTGTGATAAACATACAAGCACAAAGATACTAAAAAATTGTTTGCATATTTATACATATACATATTACACACACACACATATATATATATATATATATATATATATATATATATATATATATATATATATATATATATATATATATATATATATATATATATATATTTATATATTTTTTTATTTATTTATATTTATGTTTATGGTTTACAACATGTACATTTACATTTATATCTATATTTATATATATAGCATACTATGTTATATATATATATATATATATGACTCAAATCGAATTGGACCAAGGTGCCTTTGTGTAATTGTGCCATTGTATAAAATCGTATTGCTATCAAGTGTTAATTTTAATTCAAATACTATAGAAAGAAAAATCCATCATCTTATGAACACATAATCAAAACCCATTTTAAAAAATTATTTGATTAAGCGTCCATGTCTTCAACCATTTTATTGTTTCAAAATTTGATGCAGAATCCAGTCTAGTATTTTCTTAGTACTGTTTTTCTAGTTATAGATGTAACTAGGTGTAGTTACCAGAGATGATAACAACGTAATAATGCAGGTGTTAGGCTGATAACGATCACAAAGCCGCTGCGCAGTTCACAGGCTGACGTCACAGTGCAGATGGCTTATTAATCGGACGGTACGACAGAAGCGGCGTAATTAACATTCTGATGCAACGAGTAGAATCGATTACGATTACGATTACGATTACGAATCCGATTACGAATACGAAGGGATATATAGGAAGACGGCTGAGATATAGGAGGACAGAACGAGAACGATGATCAGTGAGGATCAGTCAGTCAGTCAGTAGGAGAGTGGCAGTATCAAGTTGGTTATTGAACGGGTTAGCCGTATTGTGTTAATAAGGACGATAGACATGTGCATTCAGTTATGTGAAGACTAGTGAGGACTGTTGGGGGTCAGTTGATTCAGACTATTATTGTGAAACATCTCTCTTGATTCATTATATTATTGTGAAGCATTTCTTTGATTCATGTAATAAAAGGATCAATAATGAACCTGCATCTTCGAGTATCTATACTGTAGTCGATGTTGTGTAGAATGAGTGGTTAGACTCGTTACATTTGGCGTTGTCGGCAGGATAGACTCGGGAAGGTTACATTTGGCGCTGCGAGCAGGATGATTCAATTAGACCAGCCGCTAGGGCACCCATAGTCAACCTAGATCCAGTTCATAACTGTGTTTCGTGTGTGTGTGAATTCGGACATTCAGGAACAGTGAAAAGTGAGGAACGAGGAAAATTTTTCATACACACACGGTAAGAAAGGTCTCTTCTTTTTTTGACTCAAGGAATAAAAATTATAATGTCTACTCTGGACGAGAAGCAGACCCATATTGTGGTCCTGCCCAGAGAGTCCCACATTAACAAATTTTACGGGGACGGTGATCCAGCTTTAACCAACAGGTTCAGTGAAGAGGTCAAAGCGGCCTGGGCCTCGAGATACATGTCACCAGAGGAAAGATTAAGACTGCTGATGGGCAGTATAGGAGAGACGGTTAGGGCAGAGGTCAAATGCCACGATAAAACCATCCAATCAGATCCAGATAAGGTGCTGGATCTAATTATGGAGACCTTTGGGGAGAGACGGTCGGGATCGCAACTGCTATCGGGGTTCGTAGGCTTAAAGCAGAGAATGGCGGAGAGTGTGATGGAGTATTCACACCGAATGAACAGGGCCTTTGATTCGGTAAAGGGCAAAACACCTGACATTGATGTGCGCCTACTGAGGGACCATTTCATCGAGGGGCTAGCAACCCCGATCTTAAGGAGAGAGTTGAAAGAAGAGGTCTACAAAGACCCGCAGTTGACCTTCCTTCAGGTCAGGAACTCAGCGATCCGCAGGTCCGAGGATGAGGACCAATCGAACTGTTCGGTAGACAAAGTCTCTGTGCCGGAACAGAAACAATCCCCACCCACAGGGACCGGCACGATGGAAACCATGATGGCTCAACTGTTGGCCCACCTGGATAAGGTTGACCAACGATTGGAGAGGTTGGAAAGCAGGTCAACAGCTGAGAATCAGGGCAAAAACGGGACAAAACAGGGACGGGTTGGACAGCCGCGACCTGCCGGTCCATCGCTCCGGTGGACGGCCGACGGTCGACCAATTTGCTTGTCCTGCTCACAACCCGGACATATGGCACGGTACTGTCCGGGGAAACGATCGTCCTCTGTAAGGCAGGGTCAGGCTACAGAGGGGCGAGGTTATGGCCCTAGAAACAAAATGATGGGAGTCTGTCCCGAAATGATGATTACGATCGGGGACATCGCGGTGAAGGCAATTGTGGATACAGGCTCCCAGGTGACGACAATTACGGAAAATTTTTACACCAAATGGATGAAAGGAAAAGACCATAGGTTGAGGTCTGACACATGCATGCGCCTGACGGCAGCTAATGGACTAACCATTCCATACTGTGGTTATTTTCTGGCGGATGTCGTGGTGGCGGGACATAGGTTGAAGCAGGTTGGGGTGTTCGTTACGAAACACAACCTAGAGACAAATGTGTCAAATATACCTTGCCTGTTGGGCATGAATATTCTTGGCCAGTTGCCAGAATTTCTTACAAATATTGTCGGATCGACCACACCAGGTCGGGGATCCAAGTTGGCCAGGTTTGCCAAGACCAGAGGAAGGATATCAGTCCCGGCAAACACGGTCAAGGCAATCACATTACAAATTGGTGATAGAAGCGTGAATGGTGATGTGATGATAGAACCATGTGGCGCCGCACTGAGGGCAGGCGTCGTGTTACTGCGGACATACACATCAGCGGAAAATGGACTAGTTCAAGGATTAGTGGCAAATGTTTTGGATGAGGAAATTTTTATACCGCCTAACACTCTGGTAGGAGTACCACAGAACGTCGAGGTACAAAGGTCGGCACAGTGCATCGAACTGAGCAATACCAGCAGTAATGAAGTAACAATTAGGTCGGTCAATGTGACGGCCGAGGTGAAGAAAGAGGATGGCCGATCATATACATTCCCGGAAACTGAGGACCCAAAATTAAATAAATTACTGAATAAGTACAGGGATATATTTGCCTCGTACGAGGGTGATTTGGGTTACACGGAAGTAATAAAACACCAGATACCCTTACTACAAGACAAGCCGGTGGCGCAACCTTATCGAAGATTACCACCAAGTCACTACTCTGCGGTGAAAGCACACCTGAACGATCTACTAAAAAAGGGAATTATTACAACCAGCACGAGCCCGTATGCGGCACCGATAGTAGTGGTAAAAAAGAAGTCAGGGGAGATAAGACTGTGTTGTGATTACCGGAAATTGAACAATATCACAAGAAGGGATGCATTCCCCTTGCCTCGTATTGATGAATGTCTTGATGCGTTGGGGGGAGCAAGATTTTTTTCTACCTTGGATTTGGCTAGTGGCTACCACCAAGTGGCCATGCACCCCAACGATCAACATAAGACTGCATTTATTTCTCCACTGGGACTGTACGAGTGGACCCGTATGCCGTTTGGTCTAACTAATGCGCCTGCTACATTCCAGCGAGTAATGCAGAGTGCTATGAGTGACTTTCTATTTCAAATAATGTTGGTGTACTTGGATGATATACTGGTTTACTCAAAAACTTGGGAGGACCATCTAGAAAGATTAGAACAAGTGTTTCTCCGTCTTAGGGAGATAGGAGTAAAGCTGAACCCAGACAAATGCTGCTTCGGTCTGAAATCGGTACATTTTTTGGGTTATGTGATTTCGTCGGATGGCATCGCCACTGACCCAGATAAAATTGCAGCTGTTAAAGAATGGAAACAGCCAACAACTACGGTAGAGGTCAGATCATTCTTGGGCTTTGCTTCCTATTATAGAAAATTTGTGCCTGGTTTTGCAAAAATTGCCGCACCATTGCATGACTTGGTAAACAAAATGACAAAGAAACACAGTAAGGAGAAAAAGAAAGGTAAAACACAACTGATAGGTGAATTATGGACTGATGAATGCCTGAACTCGTTTAAGCTATTGAAAAAGGCTTTGACAGAGGCGCCGATATTAGGATACGCAGACTTTGACAAACCATTTCGGCTAGAAATTGACGCCAGCTCTAAAGGTCTGGGAGCTGTGCTATCACAACAACAAAAGCAAGGTTTCAGGGTTATTGCGTATGCCAGTCGAGCTCTGAAGGAATCAGAGAAGAACATGACAAATTACAGCGCCATGAAACTAGAACTTTTGACATTAAAATGGGCTGTGACTGAAAAATTCAGGGACTATCTATTGGGTGCTAAATGTGTGGTATACACTGACAATAACCCCCTCAGTCACCTAAAGACAGCAAAGTTGGGATCCATCGAACAGCGATGGGCAGCAGAATTGGCACTCTTTGACCTAGAGATAAAATAAAAGAAACGCTGACAGGAATATGTGAGGTCAGAGCGTCAACAGATATCCCTCACGGGGTGCAAGTGAGGCAGAACGGACAGACCGGGGTGGAGCACATTTCCACAGAGCCCGGACATATGGACATTAGTGATTTTAATTGCCTTACTAATAAAGAGATACGAGATGCCCAGAGAACGGATAGCGGGTTACAGCCGCTATTGAAATACGTCCAGGAACAAAAATTCCCAAGAAGAAGGGAAAGAGAACAATTTGGTCGAGAAACAAAGAAAATACTGAGTCAGTGGGACCGTCTCAGTATAAAGGATGGTGTTCTCATGCGGAGAATTCATGACCAAATAGATGGGACAATACACCAGGTGGTGGTGCCTGGACAGTTACGAGAAGAAGTGCTAAGGTTGGCACATGACAGGGCAGGACACCAGGGTCAGGACAGGACGCACAAAATATTACGACGGAGGTGTTACTGGCCCAATATGGAGATGGAGGTCAAACGCCATTGTGAGGCTTGTGTGAGGTGTCAGCATGCGAAAATGCCAGTTGTCAAAATGAGACAGCCATTAGGACACTTACAGGCGACAAAACCACTAGAGATTGTGGCTATGGACTTTAAGTCGTTGGAACAATCATCGGATGGGACGGAACATGTGTTGGTAATGACTGATGTATTCACCAAATGGACGGTGGCGGTGCCCACACGAGATCAGACTGCCAAAACAGTGGCAAAGGTCTTAATAGAACATTGGTTCATCAAATATGGCATACCAAGACAATTACACTCTGACCAAGGAAGGGCCTTCGAGTCAGAAGTAATTAACCAACTGTGCAGCCACTACGGGATCAACAAATCTAGAACAACCACATTTAATCCGAAAGGAAACGGACAGTGCGAGCGGTTCAACCGCAGCATGCATGATTTGCTGCGTACTCTAGAACCTGAACAGAAAAAACGCTGGCCTGATTTTCTCCCAGAGTTGGTATATCTATACAACTGCACCCCCCATGCCACAACCGGCTTTTCGCCACACATGTTACTGTTCGGACGGGAGGCTCGACTCCCTCTTGACTTGTTCCTAGGAAAAAAGGAAAGTATGACTGGCTCATACACCGCACTAGAATATGTGAATGAACATATGAGACGAATTAGAGAAATGTACAGGGTAGTACAGGAAAGACTAGAACAGGAAGAACGGCGAAGGGAACCGCCGGTACAGACAAAGGACCCGCCACTCAAACTGAACGACAGGGTATTACTGCGTAGCCACCCGTTAGGCAGAAACAAAATCCACGACCTCTGGGGACAGGAGATATGGCAAGTCGTGGAGATGCCTAAAATAGCCGGTGGCCCCTTTAAGATAAGACCCATCGATCACACCAAACCGGGTCGGTGGGCGAATATTGCTCAATTAAAGAAATATTGTCATATTCAAGAAGAGCAGTTACACACAAGGAAACCTAAGACAATTAGGGAACCGGAAACTATAACGGAAATTCACATACCCATCCCGGAACCATGTCGCCATCAACAGCGCAACAGCGATACACAAGGGGAGGATACCGGCAACAAGGAGGATCCCGGTCCTCCCAGAAGCAGAGACACAGTAGAACAGCAGATAAGTGGTCCGCGGAGAAGTTTGAGAAACAGAAAGAATACGAAATTTTTCGTCAGCAACCATCAATTCTGTCATGGTCGCGCTGGTATGAGAACAGACTGTTCAAAAAGTTATAAAAGTGAACTGGTGAAGGCACCAAACGAAAAAGGTGGATATGAATTCTAGAACTGCTTGTGTCTGAGGAATATGATGTAGACACATTTGATATGTGAAATAGGGATAACTGTCAATCTTTTACGAATGTGACGACATTGACAGTGAATGGAACAATAAATTTTTTTTTTTACGATGGTGAGATTGACATTTAAGAAGTGCACCTACCAAGCGTTGTTTGTGGTTGAAAACACACAAAAAAAAAGGCGGCGGTGGATGTAACTAGGTGTAGTTACCAGAGATGATAACAACGTAATAATGCAGGTGTTAGGCTGATAACGATCACAAAGCCGCTGCGCAGTTCACAGGCTGACGTCACAGTGCAGATGGCTTATTAATCGGACGGTACGACAGAAGCGGCGTAATTAACATTCTGATGCAACGAGTAGAATCGATTACGATTACGATTACGATTACGAATCCGATTACGAATACGAAGGGATATATAGGAAGACGGCTGAGATATAGGAGGACAGAACGAGAACGATGATCAGTGAGGATCAGTCAGTCAGTCAGTAGGAGAGTGGCAGTATCAAGTTGGTTATTGAACGGGTTAGCCGTATTGTGTTAATAAGGACGATAGACATGTGCATTCAGTTATGTGAAGACTAGTGAGGACTGTTGGGGGTCAGTTGATTCAGACTATTATTGTGAAACATCTCTCTTGATTCATTATATTATTGTGAAGCATTTCTTTGATTCATGTAATAAAAGGATCAATAATGAACCTGCATCTTCGAGTATCTATACTGTAGTCGATGTTGTGTAGAATGAGTGGTTAGACTCGTTACATTTGGCGTTGTCGGCAGGATAGACTCGGGAAGGTTACATAGATATATCTTTTACTAGAGTGTTGAAATGATAATGTTGGTTTATACTGGTAGCTTAGAGGGTAGGTAGCTTAACAGCATCTCACAGTCTTTAACCTTTAATTCTCAGTTCAGAGATTATGTCGCTCAACAACACATCACAATAGTTAACCTCTAACCTTTAACCCCTAACCCCAGTTCAGAGAGTGTGTCACCAAACACCACCTCACAATCGTTAACCTCTAACTTTTAACCCTTGACCTCAGCTCAGAGAGTATGTCGCTCAACACCACCTCACATTCGTTAACTTTTATAACCTTTAACCCCTAACCCCAGCTCAGAGAGTATGTCGCTCAACACCATCTTCGACAACAACACAGCCGAGAAACAACTCTACAAGTTCCGCTTTGAGAAGACGAGGCGGACAGAAATCAACGTCACGTTTCAAAAGGGCTTCACATTTGGGGGCAAGGCCAACTTCAGCATCGGGGTGCCCAAGTTGTGGGGGGAGGCCAACGTGGGGGCGGAACTGGAAATGCAATATCAGGTAGACTTGCAGATGGCTCATTAGTTTTAAACTGTATTTATACAAATACAAGTTTAGTTTGGAACTGGAGGCACTTTTTGGGTGTGTGTGTGTAGATGACAACATTGTTAACAATCGCGGCAAACATGTTTTGCTATTTGTTTTGTCTCTGTTTTTAGACAAATTAGATACCTTTCATCAATTGGCGAACATTGGACATTTCTTATTTACAATTTCTTTGTAGTTAAGATTATCCCCCCCCCCCAACCCCTCTTACTTATCGCCACCCCTTCTCCGCCCCCCCCCCCCCCAAACACATCTACCCCACCCCTCAAAACGAAATAGAAAAGATATACTTTTATCAGTGTCCGCCAGCCCCACCCCTCGGAAATTTTAGTCCGCCCCTCACCCTGGAAATTTCAGGTGCCCCTTCCCCCCCCCCTCTCCCCCCCCCCTCTCCCCCCCCCCCCCCCTCTTAAGGAGAAACATTGCATGTAGCTGGTCTACCCAGTTTTCAGCATGTAAAGTTGATTGTGTTATCAATAAAATTCATGTATACATCTAGATCACAAACAGCTGAAAGCTACTCAGTCCAGTCCTTTAGATATGAGCAGTGCCGTAGCGAGGTCGGATGTCACCACGTGCGGCACTTAATGGTGTCACACCCCAGAGGCGTAGCGACCCTTCCCGGGGACAAACTTTCAGTATTTTCGATTTCCACCCCCCCCCCCTTCAAACTTTCCATTTGCACACCCCCCTCAGACTTTCGATTTGCACCCCCCTCAAACTTTCGATTTGCACCTCTTAAAAGACTATTTAACACTCGAATTAGTCACTTAATAGTTAATTAAGTGGAATTATCATTTTTCTCTATATATTTTGCTATTTTTTGCCTTGGTGTCACCCCCCCCCCCACCTAAATGGAGTCACCCGGTACGGTCCGCACCCCCGCCCCCCCCCCCCTCGTTACGCCTCTGGATATGAGTGAAAGTTTCCTATTAGTTTTTAAACCTCTTAGCATTCATTACAACCTCCCCATTATGTTACAATTGACTGTAATGTCTTTTTTTTCCATTGAATCAGATCACTAAAACAGAGGGTCAGACTTTTGAAGAAACTGTTCTAATGGAGGCCACCAGCGACATAGCTGTTGGCCCAAACAGCAAGTACACGGCCAACGTCGAACTGGAAGAAAAATCTTTACTCGTTGAGTTTGAGGTGATCACCCGCCTGTCTATGCCACAGGAGCGTGCACCAATCTACATCAAGCGAAAATCGGATGGACGATGTGTTTATATTTACAGTATGAGGAACATCCGGGATATTTTTGCTAAGGTTGAACATTTGGTGCGGAATCCGCCTGAGTGTGATATCAACGAGGTTTATCTAGTTACCGAAGGCGTCATTAAAGGCATGATGGCGTGCAACCATAAGATTTTACTAAACAGTAACGAACCGGATGATCTAAAGAAAAGGGCACAGGAGAACCGCTTTAATTCTGAAGACGATCGATTTCAAAGGACGAGTTGAAATATTAAACCTGCCTTTAAGTTTCATGAACATTCGTCTTTATATATATATATATATATATATATATATATATATATATATATATATATATATATATATATATATATATATATATATATATATTATTTCTGCATAGTACGGTCTTCTAGATTTACATGCTACTGATAGAACTTCACTATTCAAACGAAGTGAAAGAAAAATAAATAAGTTTTAACGTACAAAAAACTAATCGTATTTTATTTTAAAAGTGAAATACAATAGTTTCAGAATTTATGTTTTTATTTGTGCATAGAAGTACTAGATCTATATCGTTAAAATCGAATATCATTGAAAATGCTTCGGAAAGTGTTTTATTACAATGCCTTCAGGGATGGGCTGGTTGTGTCCAAGAGGCCCATGAAATTTTAAAAGGGGCCCCCAACCATCAAAGCTTGATGGAAACTCATGCAACAAATTTTTTTTTTTAATAGAAGCACTAATAAGACTACTACAGCGCCTTTCTGGAAGCCCACCAGTATTTGTTTTTATTTGGGGCTCACTGGGATTTTCCCCGGTAGACCGGCAAGCCAGTCCATCCCTGATTACCTTAATCCATTAAAAAGTTCAGACATGGTTTTATTAAACCTTTTGAAAATGGGCGAAAGCTATTGTAAAATGTATCGTTAATTGATTGGATGTGTCTTACGTTATAGAAAATTGTGTGTATAAACATGTCTTGATAAAAAGCTTTTTTTTCTATTCTTGCTCGTGCTTTGTATTGTGCTACGCAGTCTCCTAGAAATTCTACATGATATTTTTACTCGAGTAAGTCGGTTTTCCTGAAGCATTTCTATATTTTGTTTGTTTTGGGGAGCGGCGGGGAGGGGGTGGGGGTAATTTAGTTTCGACAGCTATCGATATTCGAAAAGTAAGACGCACTCCGAGTTTCTTCCAGGCATCTCTTCGGGGGGGGGGGGGGGGGGGGGAAGAAAGTCTACCGCCCTCCCCCACGGAATTTACATAGAAAATATATACCTTTTACTAGTCTCCGCCCCCCACCCCCCCCCCCCCCCCACGGAGAAAAAAGTCTGGAAGAAACACTGGACGCACTCACGACTAAAATAGGCACAGCTGACTTGCCACATCTTTTCTCATATAAAGTGATGATTATGCTGACTGTTGCATTGTGATCCAAAGTTTTCAAGTGCGCGTAAAGTCAATTTTTCTAGAGAATGTTTTATTGAATTGTTGTTTTTTGTTTATATATATATATATATATATATATATATATATATATATATATATATATATATATATATATATATATATATATATATATATATATATATATATTTGGCGGGGTAATGGGGAGGGGAGCGTATTTAATTCTACATCGTCTATGTATTGTTAAATTAGCGAGGCGTTTAACGAGAACACAACAAAACAGTTAGACTGTAACACGTAGGTATACGTCAAACAATGTACTCTGCTTCATTTGCCTCTTGAACAGTAAGGTTCCAAAAGTAAACATGTACTTCAAAAGGTAAACCAACTGGGATTTCAGACCCTATATATTCACGGCTTTACATTTAGGGTTTAAAAATGACACCTCATTCGTAGTTCAAATCAATACCTGTACGAGAGAAGTATTCCACCATTTCGATCATATATAGATCTAGATCTAACTGCTACGCCTACACTACAAAAATTGAATATATTCAATAATCAAATATCGAGTTCTTTTTGTTATGGGGAAACTGCAGTAGTTTTTAATCTTACCTCTGCAGGCAAGAGACTAATAATAGAAGAGTTGTCATTAATGTATAATATAAAATACAAAAATACATGTGTATTATATTTATACATATTTTTAAAAATCATTTTTTTTTTTACATTACCGTTCCTTTTGCTTTTTTTACGCTAAAAGGGTAGGGGAAAGGGGGCGTATTCTTGCATTTAAATTCTAGTTACTTCCCATTTTAAAAATTCTGAATCAAGGGAAATAACCTACAACTAAAATCTTTTGACGAACGTAACAAAAAAGCAGATGGGATAAACACTTCACCTGATGTTACAATACTAGTTACAAGGAAACGCCCACTTCTATAAGTCTGGTAGCAAAAGTACTCCATGTGAGTGTCTAACCAGTTTCAACCCATTAAAATTGTAATAACTCTATTTTGTTCAGATATTGAAATAACAGTACATTTATTTATAAAGCTATTTTTAGGAATCATGCTTACTTCTACTCTTCATGTGGATTTTCTTTAGGATTACAGATATGTTTTAAAACGACATCAACGTAAGCACAAAACAAATCACTTAGTTTGACGATGACGCAGTTTTCATATAAAACTATAAACATTCTACAACAATCAAAACAATTTTATTTTATTTTATTTTATTTTATTTTATAAAAGAAATGTATTAAATAAATGTATTAAACAACGTTTATCATAAAATGAAGATAATAATATGTTCATTCTATAAATAGCACAAACAGTAAGCTTTTGAACAGTCACTATTTGATAAATGAAGTATTCAAAAGTATTGAATTAACTAAAATAATCATTTAAATCTAAAGTTTTAGTCTTCTTCACTTCAACAACATAAGCTTTCTGACCCTTTTTCTCTACATACTTTTGATTTACCTGAAACGTAAGAATTTTTTTTTAAATCAAAGCTTATAATGTAAAACAAATTGTTGAACAAATATGAAACTACACCACATGTTTGTTTGTGCGGATGCATGAGGTTTCAAAGTTTCTTTAAATAGAGGTTAAATCATAAATATTAGCCAACTACAAATATTAATTAGAAATTACCACTTTAATAAGCATCAATTAATTCTACAACTGAAATAAAGTGTTCAACTACCGCTTACCACTTTGATTTCATCAAATGGAAAAGGAAGGGATTGGTTTGCTTTTCCATACTGACCAAACTTGTTTGTGTATTTAAAGACACCTATCCCTTTTCCACTACTGAAAAGAAAAAAAAATATCTCACTTTTAAATGCATATTTTAAAACATGTTGCTAAATATCATCCATATGTAGTAAATTTGATTCATAAAACAAAAGGGCTTGTTTAGGTTAAAAATTAGAAAATTAGTCTTATTTCTTCAGCATTATCAGTATTACAGCAGCTACAGCAATATGTGTAAATAAATATATATATATATATATGTATATATATATATATATATATATATATATATATATATATATATATATATATATATATATATATATATATATACTTGCTGCATACCCGTGCTTTGCCACGGTGTGGATATGAATATTACCTCAGACTTTACCAAAGCTAGGCGCGGATTGGGGTTCAAGTATTGGGACGGAATATCTTCAGCGCAATGCGCGGGTGTCGGTAGCAGTTTTATTCCTTCAGTACACCGCGCTGCCCGTATACACATGCTTCGCCACGGTGTGGATATGGATATTACCTTAGAGTTTACCACGCTGCGCGCGGATGTGGGTCCCTGCATTTGGGGCAAGTGTTGTTAGCCCTTTGGTGCGAATATGGATATTCACAAAAATTAAATTACAGAAAAACAAAAACAAAAATTGAGTGCGGACGCTTTCATGAACGTCCACCAATCCATTTCTGCTCCCTGAACCCAAGGCGTAATTTAAACCACCACCAAACAAAATTGTTTTCCTGGCCATCAGCGCCTATAGCAATGATGGACTGACACACTACCAGCCCGCTTATATTATAGATATACATATATACATATATATATCTTTTAAAGTAACTTTTAAGAAAGTAGTAAGATAAAGTTCAGTTGTTTCTGTAATCACAGAATACAAAAGGAATGTACAGATATTATGAAGTCCAACCTTCTTTAATGTTCTCAGATCTGATACAACTTAAGGACACTCTAAAAACTATGCAAAGAGACTAAACTCAAATTTTGTAAATTAGCCATTGTATGATTTTTCCTTTACTTAACACTAAGAAAATTATATTCCATGGGTATGAATAGTTAAAATAATAAAGTTTTGGGAAATCAGATTTATACACTTAAGTTACATTAACAGAATAACATACCCAGGATCTTTTTCAATTTCAAAGCTACATTCACTTCCTTCAATGTAATCATAACTGAGGAAACCCTGGGTGCCAGGTTCAGTTGTAACTCCACATGTAACTATTTGATATGTAATGTACATAAACCATTGTAATAAACGAAAAAAGATTACATTACTACAACAAAATATAATCAAATATACCAGTACATATAAATTTAAATGAAATGTTAATAGATGCTAAAATCTAGCTATATATATATATATATATATATATATATATATATATATATATATATATATATATATATATGTATATATGTGTATATATGTGTATATATATGTATATATGTTTATATATGTATATATATATATATATTTATATATATATATATATATATATATATATATATAAATAACAATGTATATATTTTATATATATATATATATATATATATATATATATATATATATATATATATATATATATATATATATATATATATATATATATATATATATATATATATATATATATATATATATATATATATATTATATATGCTATTATGATTTGAAGCAAGAGGGTGAGTCTGACATAAATTGACTTTAAAGGATATGTATAGGTCAAACATTTATAAACTTTGTAGATAAATGGATTACCTCAAAGTATACATCACATTTTATAATTGTATGCAGGTTAATAAGAATAGTACATTTTTTTCTGATTATATATATATATATATATATATATATATATATATATATATAGAGAGAGAGAGAGAGAGAGAGAGAGAGAGAGATATATTTATATATATATATATATATATATATATATAGATTATGATACTGGCATTAGAGATTTGTATAAATACTGTGTTGAATGTAACAGAGTAAAGGATTTCCTTATTTCAAGTTAACTGTGGTCAATAAAATAGAGATATTCATTTTTACACTTACCAGTATTTTTAAAAACAGCACTGAAAAACAAAAGAAAAATTGTTTTAAAAGAAAATAAATATTAAAATGAATATCTTTTTTTAAAAATTTATTTATGTCTTTTAACTCACAAAATCTTTTACTGTATTTTATTCCATTTTAAAATATTTTTAAAATAAACAACAAAGAAAATGAAATAACATTCTGGTTAAAAAATAACCTCATTTTTAAAGTTGTTCTGATGATCTTATTGCCTGTAACTGTTGGCAAATAAAATATCTGTGACTAAACTAGCCCCAGGTCACAGCTTTTATACTATACTATAAATAGTGTTAGTACTGTGTGCAAAAATTTCTGGTCAGGAGCTTGACGATGACATGGCGCCATCAAAATTGATCTTTCCACGAAATCCGCTGCCGTCAGCGAATCAATATGTATAAATAGCTTAGCAATCTATTCAAATTTCAATAGTTTACCAGCGTGTCGCTTAAAGCTGCTGGTAGCTAAGGAGTTGTAACTATAAACATTTAAACCGTAGTTTCATTTTCAAAGCAGTAACAACAGAAGATTCCTTTGACATGTACATAATTATTTTAGATTTCTGGGAATGCCAGCTATGTCATAAAAGAGTTGCATTATCTAGATGACTCAATGTGTGTTGCTACCATCAGATCTAAAATTAGTTACATTTTTGAGTCAGTTAATTATCCATATAGTAAAAATGTGATAGAATGTTCTAGTTCATCTCATTGTTTAGCCAGCCTAATGCCCAAGTAGTCCATATTTTTTCAAATGGTGCTAGGTATTTATTGTAGCTGAGTGTACTCAACCTGTATTTAAATACCAAAGAATCAATGTCTGACCAAAAAAAACATCTTGGAAACCTCTGTAAAATAATTATTTTTCTTCTAAAAAGAACTATTTCTTAAATCATTTTCTAGGTCCACTCCATATCTCTGTTATGGAAAATCATTTACAACTTACACCCATAACTAAAATAAAAATTGAATACAGGCTTTTAATTTCATTTTACTTAAACTAAAAGCTACCAGTTCATGCACCTTAGCCTAAAACCTTCCCTTGTTTCTGCCTGCCTGAAACAGATGGACTTTGTTTTTGCCTGCCAACAAGTGATCTAGTGAAATCATCACAGGGTTTTCCTGAATAAAAAAAAAAAAACACATTATTACTAATACTCTTTCGCTAATTGCCTCATATAGAATAAGTATGTGTAAAATCGCAATGGGGATATGTATCATACAATAAGGAAAATTTTTATTTTTCATAAGTTTTTTTTTCCTTAAAAAAAAAACAGACCCTTTTTAAAATTCTAAAATCATAAAAGGAACAACAAGGTTAAACAGATGTATTTATAATTGCTTCATATACATATTTTTACCATTCCTAGATCTACTTTTTCTTGTGCATTTTTCATAGACTTGTAATGATAACCTGTACTGTAATACATAACTTTAAGTTGCCGAGGCCTATCACTGTACATCATCTTTATAGCACTAAAAGTAAAAGCATAATATTTTATTAGATCATCTAAAAGTACAGCTGTATTAAATTATTTATTTTAATATTTTTGAAGTAGATCTAGATTATAGATCTATAAGACAAAAGAATAAATAATATTAAAATAATGAAATTATTTAATTCTTAGATTTGACTTCAGATTTAAAATGTCTAGGTAGGTGACACATCAAAGTGACAACAAGTAGTTAGATCTATAAGTATAACAGTAACAAAACTTAAGTTTACTTAACTAAAATTCTAATTAGATCTAATAATTAGCAACAACAATATCAATGGTCTCAGTCTGAATATAATTATAATAAATTAAACAGAAATTAGTTTTTTTCAAAATTTAAAGTTTAAAAGAGGGATGACTTCACTCAGAAGAGAGAAGGAAAAGAATTACAGCTACTGTAGAGTTCGGTACGAGGATCGTTAGTTTTACGTAATCGCTTCTTTAGGAATGTATCTGTTTTGGTTGAATATATTTTTAAAATGTAGATCTAGTCTTAAGTGTAAGTTTGGTGATGATCTTTATGTAGGTGTTACTTGAAGCGGCGTCTATCTCAACGGAACACATGTGCCAGATTAAAGTTTTAGAACTAAGTTAAATTATATTATTTGATTTGCCATAAAAGAAACCACGAGGCATTATAAATTCGGAAGAGCTGTTTAATCAACCTAATAATTGAATTATTGTAGCGAAAAATAAGCTAGGCTAACAGCTCCTATGTTAAGAGAATTTTATTAAAGTTATTTCTGTATTTTATCTAATATATTATTATATATCTTTTTATGTATTTACAAAATCAAAATAGTTCCGCATCACCTTCGTATATAAATTAACGCTCATTAAAAATTTATAAAACCCGTAAAAATAAAAATTAAAAAATAACTTCGCCTTTTGTAGCCTATACATTTTACAAATATATTTGTTTTAAAAAATAAGGCCTATAATACCCTTTAAAATGTGCGTTAGGAAGGGGGGGATGTTTTCTTGACTTAACCGTAATTCACATAATTATTCACAAAAATTTACCTTTTTAAAACACTCGTTTTGATAGACATTTACTGTTATAAATCCTCAGGTGAACAGTTAGCCCCACCCTACCCCCATATATTTGTAATTTCTTTATCGATAGATACTATAAGCCACAGTGCGAATCTATTGAAATCTGCAACAACAAAAATTTAAGTTCTATTTAGACAGTAAAAACAAATAGGCTATTTTATGTTTTACTTGTTTTCTCCCCTTGAAAAATAAACTGCTTTTGAAAATGTTGTAAAAATCAACTCTAACGAATTCTCGTTAATAATATCATTACTTATGTAATTTTATTTACAGGATCAATTACGATACGTAATTACTGCGAGGAAAGATATTATTTTTCGAACAGATACGAGTTTTCGCTTGTACAAGAATCAGGACATTTTTCAGTAACAATAACTCTGTGCGGAAACTTGCATCGGGGTTAAATTAAAAATCAACATGGGACGTTACGACGTCTGGCAGATTTAGATTTGTTCGGCATGGCATTGAATTTATTTATATTCTGGGCACGAGAACATTTTGAAGGGTAAGTTCATGTAAACTTTAATTATAAAAATAAATTATACAATAATTCTGTTGGCTAGCAAAAATTATAGATCATATTTAAACCTGGTAAAATAGTTCAGCCAAAATGGCTGAGTGATCGTTCTTTTATTCATTGATTATTTAACCTGCAACTGTAAAAATGTAAAAATTAATGTACTAACTCTGTATCAATACATATATATATATATATATATATATATATATATATATATATATATATAGGCCTATATATATATATATATATATATATATATATATATATATATATATATATATATATATAAAAATATATGTGTGTGTGTGTGTGTGCGTGCGCGCGCGCGTTTGTGTTGGTGTGTTGTTAGGGCTTGAAGTTTTTAGTGAAAGATGAAAAACTTTATTTTTAGAAGCTCCCAAATTCCCAAGGGAAAATAAAATTTCAACATGGGTGTCATCTGCCTATAATCCATGAGTATATCTGGTAGTTTTGAGCACCGAGAAACTTTGAAGTGTTTGCACAGCGCTTTGTATAAAGGATAAGTGTAGGGTTGGGTTTCAACACTACGTGTGTAAGCCAAAGGTATTTTTCCCTTTCCTATCAAAAGACCCAAGTGCTTACTCTGGTTCTATTTTTAGCAATAGTTCACAGCACTAACAGAGATCAATATCCAGAATAAAAAGTGATTGATCTCGCCGTCTGCAACGAACTGGAACGGAGATCGATGATTGAAAATCGATTGAGTTAGTTAAATGTTTCATTTTCTATCTTTTCCTGGAATTGACTTTTTGTTTTAACTATGACGCAGAAGTTTCTAGAATCTTGAAATAGAATCTTTAAAACATTATCATTTTTGAATGCATGTATTTCGTCGTAAACATATTTTTGAAAAACATTATTTGAAAATTTGAGTTTCAAGATCAATATGTAAACGGTTTCAGTTTCTGGTTTTTCTTGCAATTGAGTTTTTGTTTCAACCATGACGCAATAGTTTCTATAGTCTTGAAATAGAATGTCTAAAACATCATCTTTCTTTAGATGTATTTCGCCGTAAATAATTTTTGTGGAAAAAATTGTTGAAAATTTAAGTTCCAATATCATTATATTAACGGTTTCAGTTTCTCATTGTTCTTGCAATTTAGTTTTGTTTTCAACTATGACTTAGGCCTATTAGTATCTAGAAAACCTTGGCTTTAAAAAATCTTTTTTTTTTAATATCTAAAATTGAAACTAGTTGGTTCCAAGAAAAAACTCGAACTGAAACAACGTGCGAACTGATCTTTTGCGCACGGCACTTTTCATCGGAGACGATCAATATAGCCACAATGCCCAAAAGAACAATCAATTTGTTTGATGTCTCCATGGAACCCAACCTAAGCCTAGACCTAAACATTATCACTATTTATTATGAAAAATAATTCTGAACCTTTTCTTATGCCTAATTCTAAATCAAGATCCACTTCTCACAAACGCTCTGATCATTACTACAATCAATTTTGTTATTTTATTCTGTTAAGGGATCATCCTTAAATGACACCCCGTTATATCTGCAGTTACCCCCCCACACCCTATATTGTTACAAAACCACCCCACCCATGCCTCTCTCACCACGTTCCAATACTTAAAACAACAAGCTTAAATGTCATCATTTTTGTTCTAAAATATACAAAATAAACACTATGTCACATTTCTTGAACTGCCACACCCCCCTCCTCGTAAATACACCATCACAAAAGACAAACTTTCCCCTTCGCGTGCTTACTATTGATAGACGACTCCTAAATATGAGCATATGGTCGTAACTATGTTGGTGCTGTTTGATCCTTCAATGCAGAAATATTCATTAAAATCTAGTCGGGCTATTAGATCCATGAATGTAATTATGATCATAGTACTCTAGACTGTAAAGGGAAGAACTTCCTTAACAAATACAATTACGTTTCTACAGATGACCATGTTTGGGTGTTGCACTCTACCAGTCATCGAGGATCAGAAACCGTTAATAATTGACGTCAAGAAGATTTTAAGCGACCGGTGAGTCACGCATAGGGCGCAATCTAACGAGTTAAACAGGAATAGTATGGCGACATTTAACAAGTTTAACAGGAAAATAGTAGGGCGCCATCTAACACGTTAAACACAGCAATAGTAGGGCGCCATTTAACAACAAATTTAACACAGCAATTGTAAGGCGCCATCCTAACATGTTTAACAGGAATAGTAGGGTGCCATATAACAAGTTTAACACAGCAATAATATGGCGCCATCTAACAAGTTTAACACGTAATTTAACAAATTTAACAGGACAATAGTAGCGCGCCATCTAACAAGCTTAACAGGAATAGTAGGGCGCCATCTAACTAGTTTAACATCGCAATAGTAGGGCGCCATCTAACAAGTTTAACAGGAATAGAAGTGCGCCATTAACAAGGTTAACACGACAATAGTATGGCGCCATCTAACAACACGTTAACACGACAATAGTAGGGCGCCATCTAACAAGGTTAACACGATAATAGTTGGGCGCCATCAGGCAAGTTTAACACGACAATAGTAGGGCGCCAACTAACAAGGTTAACACGACAATAGCAGGACGCTATCTAACAACAAGCTTAACACAGCATTAGTAGGGCGCCATCTAACAAGTTTAACAGGATTAGTAGTGCGCCATCTGACAGCAATGGTGTGTACATCACCATAATGAATAGAGTTAATAAAAATGTTTTATTATTGTACAGTTCACACACCAAACAATGATTTATTTGATAAAAATGTTAAAATCTTAAATTCGATTTTTATGTGATATTTTTAAAAATTATATTGTCTTTCTAAAACTAAATCTTATCGATTAGTCATAATTATTTCGTTTCATTGAAAAAAACTAGTGTATTTGTTTTCTTTGTATTGCTTTTTAAGTTGTTTATTTTTCTTTTTAAACTACAAACAGTGCATGGGCAAACTTCATTGCACCGTTGGGATTCTACAAAAAGTTGTACGTGAAAAAAGAAAAGTTTGATATTGAAGTGCCGGAGAATTTTTTCGTGTTTGAGAAAATTAGCCAGGGTCCAAAGAAAGAACTGATCGGTAACAACGCAACGACATCGAACCCACCCCCTCCAGAGAATGAGACAGCGAAGACAGCTGAGACAGTCGACGGTCAAGTAAAGACAGCTGAGACAGTCGACGGTCAAGTTAAGACAGCTGAGACAGTAGATGAGCCAGTTAAGACAGTTCAGCAAACTACAAAAAGCGATGATCTGTGGAAATATTCCTCTCAAAACTTAGCCAAGTATGAAAATATTATTCATTATAAACACCGTATTATATGTGACAAGGGACACAAAATGGCCTCCGAGAATAAGGCATCCGTCAAGATGTCAAGATTGATACGACATAATGCCTCCCGTAAAAATGACGCCTTTGACAGCTATCATCTCGCTTGAATTGTTTACCTTATATTACGATCCTTTAGAAAATTAAGCTCTCGCCTTGCATTATACTCACGCCCATCTGTTTTTTAAAGCGTCAGTTAAACGTTATTCTTTTGTTAAGCTCTTGTCGTAAAGCTTCTGTAGTTAAGCTCATGTCGTTAAGCTCGTGTCGTTAAGTTCCTGTTTTAAGCTCATGTCGTTAAGCTCCTGTTGTCGAGCTCCTGTCGTTAAGCTCGTGTCGTTTAGCTCATGTCGTTAAGCTCCTGTTGTTAAGCTCCTGTTATTAAGCTCCTGTCGTTAATCTGGTGTCGTTAAGCTCCTTTCACACACAAATATCCCGTCGCTAAGCTCCTGTCGTTAAGCTCATGTCACACACCAAACTCCTGCCGTGTACCTCTTGCAGCCCAAGCACACAGCGTGATATTTATCCATTTATTTACGACTTACATATTGCTAGGCGCCATTTTGTTGGAATCCACATTGCTAGGTTCAGCTGTAGGGGACATTTTGGTTGGAGACTATTTGTCGGGAACCAAACAGTTGTGAGCCGTTTGGTCGGTAGTCTTTATGTAAGGAGCCTGTACGTCGGCGGTCTATTTGTAACGCGCCCTTTCGTCGGTAGTCTTTTTATAAGGAGCCCTTTTGTCGGTAGTCTTTTTGTAAGGAGCCCTTTTGTCTGTAGTCTTTTTGTAAGGAGCCCTTTTGTCGGTAGTCTTTTTGTAAGGAGCCCTTTTGTCGTTGTGTTATGTCAAACGACCAATTTGACGAGATTATATAATTTACATCATCTAGTATTGTCATCCCCCATTTTCAAATTAAGTTGATAGTAAGTAGTTCAATACCACCTCACACTCGTTAACCTCTGACCTTTAACCCCTACCTATTTACCCCAGCTTAGAGAGTATGACACCAAACACCACCTCACAATCGTTAACCTCTAACCTCTAACCTTTAACCCCTAACTCCAGCTCAGAGAGTATGTCGCTCAACACCATCTTCGACAACAACACAGCCGAGAAACAACTGTACAAGTTCCGCTTTGAGAAGACGAGGCGGACAGAAATCAACGTCACGTTTCAAAAGGGCTTCACATTTGGGGGCAAGGCCAACTTCAGCATCGGGGTGCCCAAGTTGTGGGGGGAGGCCAATGTGGGGGCGGAACTGGAAATGCAATATCAGGTAACAGTGTAACATCTTACATACGACTACATGCTTACAGTGGCGTAACTAGCTTGGTCTTTGTCACCTGGTGTGGTAACTGAGGGTGTGACCCCCTCTTCTCCGATAGTAAATTTTGCATATTTTTTTGTGTAACCCTTCTTTATCCCCCCCCCCACACACACACACACACTATTTTATTTTTTACTTACATAAAATATTTTTTTACATAGTAAGTTATACAATTTTTCGCATTTAGGTCACACTTTAACCTAAATGGTATCGCCCAGTGTCGACAGCACCCCCCCCCTGTGACGCCACTGCATGTTTACAGAGTCCAGTGCTGTTTTTGTATAGAAATCGCCATTATTTAACCTAGTCAATTTCATGTGAATTCCATGAAAATCCTTTAACAAATGAACGTTCATTGGCCAGATAAAAGTAAAAGTAATCTTTTATCTCGGCTGTATGATAGCATTGTGCAGAGTTTCTTCCAGGCATCTCTTCTGGGGTGCACCGCTCCCCTCTCCGAAGAAAGTCTACCGCCCCCCCCCCCCCCCCCCCCCGAGAAAAATGGAATTTATATAGAAAATATATACTTTTGACAGTCTCCGCCCCCCCCCCCCCCCAGAAATTGTTGTCCGACCCCCCCCCCCCCCCCCCCGAAAATTTCAAGTACACCCGCGGAGACAAAAGTCTGGAAGAAACACTGGCATTACGTCTCCTTGTACTCAGCAATGACGACTCTTACCTTATGTGAAGTTGGAAAGGGTGTGTGATTGATAACTGGGGAGTAGTTGTTAAATGTCTTTTGTATGTCTGGTATCTTAACAGTGGCGTAGCGAGGTCGGGTGTCACCCGGTGCGGCACTTAATGGTGTCACCCCCCCCCCCCCAGAGGCGTAGCGACCCTTCCCGGGGACAAACTTTCAATTTTCGATTTGCATCCACCCCCTAAAACTTTCGATTTGCGCCTCTTAAAAGACTATTTAACACTCGAATTAATCACTTAACTAAGTGGGATGATCATTTTTCTCTATATATTTTTTTTTTTTTTTTGCCTGGGTGTCACCCCCCTAAGTGGTGTCACCCGGTGCGGTCCGCACCCCCCGCACCCCCCTCGCTACGCCTCTGTATCTTAATGTTGACACTTCTCGTTTTATTAAATTAGCCACATAGATCTAGATTGTGTATATTGTTGGCCTATACTTAAATGGATTATTTTTTTCGTTGACTAGATCTCTAAAACAGAGGGTCAGACTTTTGAAGAAACCGTTCTAATGGAGGCCACCAGCGACATAGCTGTTGGCCCAAACAGCAAGTACACGGCCAACGTCGAACTGGAAGAAAAATCTTTACACGTCGAGTTCGAGGTGATCACCCGCCTGTCCATGCCCCAAAAACAAGCACCTGTCTACATCAAACGGAAGACGGACGGAGAGTGTGTTTTCGTTTATTATATAAATAACCTCAGAGATATTTTTAGACGAGTTGGCCACGTGGTGCGCAATCCCACGGGGTGTAAGCCGTACGAGGTTTATCTAGTTACCGAAGGTGTCATAAAGGGCATGATTGCTTGCAACCACAAGATTTTATTAAACAGCAACGAACCAGACGAATTGAAGAAAAAGGCTTTGAACCGCTTTGCAGTGGATGACGATTGATTTCAAAAGGCGAGTTAGAAAGTTGACATCTCGAAAACAACCTTTGTTCAAAATATAAAAAGACTATTTAATTTCACCGCGTTGACGGTACTAGAGTGTACCAAGTTACCCTAATGCTTACTAGAAAAAATAAACCAATATAAAACGTTAAGACTTTTAAAGAAACAAATTAATTACATCCAAAATTGTAAAAAGCGTTTGAATGAGCTTTGTTACATTAAAGTGCTTAAATTAAAAAATTGATTTGGTTAAAACGAGAATGTTTAGAAGTATTTAAATTTTTAAAATATGTATATTTTGGCTGTGTTTTTTAAATGAAGTTGTATTTAGCTAACCAACTGTGTTTGTGTTATACAGTTTTACAGAGAGACTCTACTTGATATATGTGGCAATTAATGTATCTATAGAATGTTAAAATTCGTTGTTGATTATTTTGTATTATTTATGTAATGTTCTATGTTTTGACTTCTACCTACATGGTTCCAGAAGTAGCCTATTTACTTATCAAATGGGTAAGACCTGTTGCTTTTCCGTTAAAATTCTAAAAGTATTCTCATTTGATTTGAAACTTCATTTCCTGTTGGTAAGATGTATTTTTTTTTTAGTATCCATGGCTTGAATTTTAAAAAGGTAAAAATGTTTTTACTTTGACAACTTTGACTTAAGTATTTCTTTCAGAGATTTTTTTCTCAGGGCGCAGTTAAATTTCCCGGGAGGGGGTTGGGACGGACGCTGGTTAAAGTATATATTTTCTATGGTTATTACATTTGTATCTATTTCGTTCGGGAGGGGTGGCGGTGGATGTGCTTGGGAGGGGGGGGGGGGGGGGGGGGGGAGGGTGGAAGTGTCCCTCATCTCGAAAAGATGCATGAAAGAAACTGTGAATTGCTACTAAAGTATGCCATAAATGATGTAGTAATCCACTCATTGTGTCATTAACTTGTTAATAAACTTTCACTGTTTAAAAAATTTGGTATTTTAACATACTTTTCTTATGTCAATAGAATATGATATATCGCTTCCAATGAACCAGACTGTATAACTCCACTTTTCAAAAATGTTCACAACAAGGCTTTAAAGTTTTGTTTTCCTCAAGATTCCTATAATAAATAGTTCGTGAAATGAAATTATTGTGTAATAATGGTGAGAGCTAAGGCCTCAAAATTATACCATGATGCATTGGTGGATTTTAGAACCTATTAGAACGTAACGAAAAATTGATTTTGTACAGCTTAGTGTTATATATATATATATATATATATATATATATATATATATATATATATATATATATATATATATATATATATTGTTCATATCTTCCTTATGAACAAAGCCGTTGCGTTTAAACTGAGTAAATCGAGTTCGCCGCAATTTTAAGAAAACTAAGAGAATTATAACCAGGATTGGTATATATTACATCATCATTTCCCGTTCGTGCCCAAGACACATGGGGCAAATGAAGTAGTGTTCATCTGTTTTAAACTTCTTGGGTAGTGTGGTCAGCACTATGCTGTGTGACCGCATGTGTTTCCCTAATGTGATTTAGGTACTTATTTGAGCTGTGCGGACTCAGGTTTATGTACATTTTGCATTCCTGTGTTTTTGTTTGTTTCGTGTACTTCGTTTTATTATTCAGTCCCCAAAATGTACTTGTCACAGTTCCATGTTAACCTTAAATTTGCTGTTGTATAACACTTGGCATTATTAGTATTATTATTATTGGATAAGTCAGATACATGTAAGGTTCCATACCACTGCCATGTGTACGCCATCCAATGCTTTTTTCATATGTATAAATTCTAACGTATAGTGAAAAGTACATTTTAGTTTCAATATGATCTGTGAAGGCGAGATCTTTTTACTTTCTCGTATATACAAAGTATAGAGAAAGTCTTGTAATCGTGCGAAAAAAAATCGACATTTTACACCTCACTGATACGGAAAAACATAATTTTGCAATCTTGTCCGTATGTCTGTGAGTATATCTGTGTGTGTGTCTGTGTGTGTGTGTGTCTGTGTGTGTGTCTGTAAACACGATAACTTGAGTACCGTTACAGCTAGGTTGATGAAATTTCATATATAAGTATTTTATCAAAATCGTAGATCCCTTTCAACTTTTGAGCGATTTCCGATAACCGGAAGTGGTACTTGTTCTACTTTGAATTTTTCAAAAGCCTATAACTTGAGTACTATTCCAGATAGATAAATTAAATTTCACATGTAAGTAAAAGATCTAATTCTCTACCTTCAGTCAAATTTTGAGTCATTGCCGTTGACCGGAAGTACTAAGTTACGCTATTTCCGATTTCTCAAAATCTAATGTAAATTTATAAAGTACTAATAATATTCCGCACTTTTATGCACATTTTATTTGGCCTTCACTGGTGTGCAATTCTTTTTTCTGCGAGATTTTATTCTATTTTAAAAAGTTTAAGTATTTAAAATTGATTAAAATTCATGTCTATATCCCGAGTTCCCATCCCCTGTTTTTTTTATATAAGAATATTCGAGAAAGTTTAGGGGAGATCACTCCTGGTTTATTTAACATGTCTGCACTTGTCTAATGTCTATTGTCTAAAGCAGGGGTCTCCAAACTTTTCAGTCCGAGAGCCGCATTAACTATCAAATTTCAGTTCGGGGGCCAGTTTCTTCCAGGCATGTCTTTGATTTTTTTCACCAACAAACGTTTTTTTCCGTGGACAAAAAGATCTCCGCGGGCCGGATAAGAGGACCTCGCGGGCCGCATCCGGCCCGCGGGCCGTAGTTTGGAGACCCCTGGTCTAAAGCTTCCTATAGTCTATCAATAGAGTCTGACTACGCGCTGCAAAGTGATACCTCTTCGGATGGTTAGTTCTAGCAAACTTATAATCCAGATATATCACACATCATATTAGAGATTGCTCCAATCAACTAGGCTAAACTAATTTGCACCTATTTTTCTAACGCTAGTATTTATTTTATTGGTACGGAGTGGCCTGGCAGTGGAGCGCTAACCTGAAAGTCTCGAGTTCGAACCCGGGTTCAAGTCAGTAGAATGTCCCTGAGTTCATCCAGCGCTTACAGGTACCTAACTCACGTTAGGGAAAGTAAAAAGGGTTGGGCATAATGCTAACCAAACTATCGCTTCATATGCTTTGGTCAAAGAAACAGGTGAACTCTACTTCACTTGCACCATAGACTGTCAGGTTTCAAAAGGAACTCTACTTATTAATATACTTTAAAGAATTATTCATCTTTAACAGGGGAAAAAATGGCATCAAGTAAAGTGAGTAAAGTGATTGAAAACACACACATGCGCGCGTACACACACACACACACACACATACACACACCACACATACACACGCACCACACATACACATACATGGAGGGGCGCAAAATTGAAAGCTTGCCCCTGGAACAGGAATGGATCTCTAGGCCACCGGCCTCCAAAAGTTAGGAGTTTACTCTACTATACGGCCACACCCATTACAGCCTCAAACATTTTGTTTATTAGCCAGGCAGACTGGAACAGAGTTTGTTGAGCATTTCTTTCACCAACATTACCAGCCGCTAGACCCCCGGGTTCTTGCCAGACTTTTCCTACCTCCACCAGAACATCGCACCGCCTGGTTAAGATACGAGACTTGCTTATTGCTATCGGGCTCGAAGTTGTGCAATGTCTTCCGTACCACCGCCTTCCCGAGTCGTTAGAAGTGTTTATAAGTACAGTGTGCAATTTTCCTGCGCTGTTCCTCTGTTATTCTCCCCCCCCCCCCCCCCCGAAAGCCTAATACAATCAGTGGCGTCATTTAGGCGGTTAACCCCCCCCCCCCCTTTCCCCTATACACCCCAAAAAATAAATGTTGTCTTGTCTACTCAATCCGTCCCATGAGCCGCGAAATGCGGCTTGAGCCAGCTTCACTGTAGGTCCACGAGCCGCAACTTGCGGCTCGACACCCGCTAGTGTTTATTTCACTAACAAGTCATTTTAACATGTAAAAAAAAAAACTACATTCTTTAACATAACTCACAATTATCTTCATTTACTGCTATAGAAAAATTCATTTCTGTTCATTTTGATGTATAATACATACATCTGGTTAGAAAAACATAGGAGCTATAATTGTTTAAGTAGGTGAGGGCTGTGTAAAAAATTTGGGTCACAAAAATAATGAGGTCAGGTGGCGGAAACCCTTCTGGTGTAGAAAGAGTAGGCTACAACTTTAATCTAGGATAGGCTCCTTTCACTTTGTTTTACTATTTCTAAGTTGTGAATGCTTTAAACCAATATTTGCCGTTGTTTAAGCTGCTATAGAATAATCATAAATAGTATTGTTTGCAATCTGGTATTTTTTATCAATTTGAATGTGTAACCTTTTCCGTTTGGTGTTCCCCACCCCCTCTTTTTTTTGCAAGATATGTATTTATGCAGAGGCCTCGCGAAGGGGGGGGGGGTGACACCATTAGATACCGCACCTGGTGACATTCGACCTAGCGACGCCACTGTATTTATGTATGTTCAGACTGCACATTAGACCTGATAGTAGCGATACTAGTGGCGGTACTGGCGAATCGCTTTAATTACCTCTACACACAAATAGTCCTTGATTGTTACATCCCATGTTTAATTGTGATATTGCCAAAAATAATTTTGCGTCTTTATTAAAGCGCAGACCAGGTTCTATACAAAACAATAACCAATCAGTGACCCTTTCAAACCCGGCTATTCATGGGGCAGATGAAGTGGAATTAACCTCGGGAATTAAAATGATAGTGTGGCAGCACTATGTCAAGTCACCTTTACTTTCACTAACGTGCCAGGTACCCTTCAGAGCTGGGTAGACTCAATGACAATAATACGGACTTAAGCCCAGGATCCAAACTCGAGGTTTTCAGGTTAGTGGCAGGGAATCTACCATTCAACCACAGTTTTCCATTATAATAAAGAAGTCAAATAAGTAGTACCCCCACCCCCCTTATTTTTTTAAAGTCTCTTTTAGTCTTTACAGTTCGACCTCTTTTGGTAGTCTAAGTTACAGTAGTAGCATGTGTTCTTTTATAACACCGCGTTTATACTTACGACATGTACACTATGCATGTCTAAAAAAATAAAGCGGGAGTGATCTCCCCTAAACTTTCTCGAGTATTCTTCTAAAACACTACGTGAAATTCAACTTGGGATATAGACATAATTTTAATCAATTTTTAATTAAGTTTAATAGGGCAAAAAGTATAAATCCAGATTTATCAAAATTTCGGCGTTTCGAGTCGGAAAAACTTGGTTTTGCAATTCTGTCCGTGTGTGTGTCTGTGTTTCTGTGAACACGATAACTTGAGTACCGTTACAGCTAGGTTGATGAAATTTCATAAATAAGTATTATATCAAATTTGTAGATCCGTGTCAAGTTTTAGCGATTTCCGGTAAACGGAAGTGGAACTTATTCTACTTTCAATTTTTCCAAAAACCTATAACTTGAGTACTTTTTTAGATAGATAAATGAACTTTCACATGTAAGTAAAAGTTCTAATTCTCTTCCTTCTGTTAAATTTTGAGTAATTTCCGTTGACCGGAAGTAGTAATTTACGCTATTTCCGATTTCTCAAAAAAGCGCATGTAAATTTATAAAATACTAATAATATTCCGCATTATTATATACATATTGTTTGGTATTCACTTGGTGCGCAATTCTTTTTTCTACGAGATTCTATTCTATTCTAAAAAGTTTAAGTAATAAAAAATGGATTAAAATCATGTCTATATCCAGAGTTGCCGTCTCCCGTAGTGTTATTGAAGAATATTCGAGAAAGTTTAGGGAAGATCACTCCCGCTTTAGTTAACATAATGTGAAGGTATGAGTTAGATCACTGTATTACTCACACATCTCTTTACTGGTAATTGCAAAAACAATATTCTCAGAGTTTTACCTGTTGCAAAAGCATCAAAAGCTATGATTCTGATTCTAAAATATTCAACTATAGTTATTGAAGTTTGCTTATTCATTATTTTGAGGCAGTTTTACTCTTATCCACAGTGTATTTATATTGGTTTAACTTACTTTACCCGAGGTATTTAAGTATATGTTCGTTAAGTACTTGTGTACGTGCTAATAATATTGACTCATGCTAACGTTCTTGATGTTGTGCGATTTTGAGCCTCCAAAAAGACTGCCCTTCCGGGGTATGGTGGGATGGCACTTTCGGTACCTCATTATGCGTTTTCCCAAAAATAGTTAACAGATCAATACGGGGGGGGGGGGGGGGTCAACTTCATTCACCACTGTCCAGTCACTTTAGGTCTATTACCTTACCCAGCGTATACCTAGGCGTGACAATGTCGCTCTACACAAATATGGCTTGTCCCTTTCTGGTGGTGAGGGGGTGAAATACCAACTCAGAGTGAACATAGTCAGTTTTTACATGACTGTTCTATACATATATATATATATATATATATATATATATATATATATATATACAATTATACATGTATACTGATTCAGAAATAGATTTAAATAAGTAACAGTGGTATTATTACAGAATTATTTTTTTTTACAGAGGGGTCCATGGGGGGGGGGGGGGGGTGGGGGGGCGCCTACGCTACTGGTTGTTCATATTTCTTTCTTACTTTATTTGCAAATTGTATTAGTTAATGAAGCTTAACTACATCTAGTAAATTATTTTCGAATTATGTCTCACGATGTTTTTTGTAAATGGGCTTCATAATGTTTATATATATATATATATATATATATATATATATATATATATATATATATATATATATATATATATATATATATATATATATATATATATATATATATATATATATATATATATATATATATATATATATATATATTTAAAAGTATATATATATATATATATATATATATATTGTAATAGGGTTTTAAAAGATGTGCAATTCTGCTGTGTAATTTTTTTTTATGTAGAACAAGACATGATATTTATAGGTTAAAGCACTCATAAAGCACTCATACTAACTTGTATTTTATCAGAGTTGCAGGAATAAATTGTTCCATAATCGAATATGAATTTATTTAAAAATACATGTTGATTTTAAGACAAAGAACACATATTGGTATTATTAGAACCCCAATCAAAAAGCCAGATTGTATTTAGTCTAAATATGTTATTAAAATTATAAATATATTTATAAACAAATTGTCTAGTGGACTGAAGACAATTGATAACATATAATATGTAAATTATATGCCATGGTAAAGAAGATGAACACAAATGTAGGTGGAGCAGAGTACATAAGTTTCTAAGACAATAAAAATATATAAGAGAGATATACTCAATCATATTTACTTGCCCTGACTTAAGTCATGAATGAGTACAATTTAAGAAAACCTATAAATAGGCCCTATATGTTTTTACCACTCAACAATAATCTGAGATAGAAAAGTAACTGTAAAGTATAAATCAATTCAAAAGGATGAAAATATGTTAATTAAATAAATAAATCTCTGAGTGTCAGCCCATCAAGAATAATTGATCAATCTCAAAAACAATATAAAACTGAACAAAGTTATAATGAAAACGTTTTTGAAAACTGAATAATTTATTACAAACAAATACATTGTTTAAAAGCTCTCCATAACCAAATAAAGTGATGTGCCAAATACAATAACAAACACATTTTTATTGCAATACAGGTACTAAATCTAACATTATGAATAAATATGTAGTTGTCATACCTACTGTGATTACCTGTTACTTACTCCTTTTAAATAATAATTCTTTTTAGCAAACTAATCACAAAAGAAAAGAATCTAACATCCAATATTTTTTACTCACAAATCCATTTTTACTTGTTGGTAGTTTCTAAACTTTACACCAAAAAAAAAACAAACAACTAATTAGACCAATAAGGTATGAAAAAGATTGTAATATTTTTAAACTAAACTAATTTTATGTTAATTAGAAATCTTCTCTTCTTCTTCGTTCTTAATTTTTAGTGTTGGAAGGGAGCGAGCCATATCTGCCAGAGGGTTTGAACTCGAGAGATTAGAAATCAATTTTATCAATTTAAAAATAAAGTTATGTAAATTGTACCTATTTTTTTTTAATGAGTTTAAAACAATTTGAAGCTGAGGGCTTCATATCCAATCAATTAATGTTGTGCTAATGTAAAATAATTCTACTTTTATGAAATGAAATACAATAGCAATACAATTACTAATACAATCTATTTGAAAATGTATCAGAAAATTACAAAGCTTAAGATTCTGTATAAAAGAAATCAAACAGAAGGTTTCTTAAAAATAGTCTTTAAATCCAGTCCCTGTTCTTTGGTTAATTCAACAATGTAATGACTAACGATCTCTTCTTCTTTAGACTTTAGTTTCATCTGAAATTATATAAGTGAAACAAAACTTAAAGTTTCAAGCTAAACAAGGAAACAGATTTTTGTCATGTTCTCAATGGGTCACAGTTAAACATTATAAGAGGAATCCAGTCTTTAAAAAAAGGAACCAAAATTAAAATAAAAGCATTTTAAAGGAGTTGAGGAACTTGCCAAATAGTAACATTAAGAAAAATTTATAGAAATAATGTCATTATTAAAGTACATAATCATAAGCAAAAAAAAAGAACAAAACAAAACAATATTCAATTAAAATTTTGCTCAAAATTCAGTCAAATGTAAAACAAAACAATATTGCATACTAAAAAGGAAAATAAGCATAACAAGTTACAACTCTAGCTTACCACATTGATTTTACCAGTTTTAAATGGCACTGTTTTATATCCTATTATTGCTTCATTGTTGGTTATAGTAAACAGCCCCTCACTCAAACCACTTTAGAGAGAATTTATGATATATACTCTAAACATGTATGTAACAAATGACTATCATCTAAAATGCATATCACTAATGTTATACACAAATTTATGTAGAACTACACTTAGTACAAAAATTAACAATTTCCTTTTCTTTTAAAAAAGGTAAAAATTTAAATGTATTAAAGTAAAATGTAATTCCTTAATTAAGTCAAAATATACAAAATAGGTAAATATATACCTGCTTGTTGGTTTTATTTCAAAAAGGCATGTACCAAATTCATAATCAAAGGTAACAGTCCCAGTCTTACTGGCAATGTCTTGAGTAATTCCAAAATTAACTATAGCATTTTTTAAAAATGAAATTTAAAGTAAAAATAAAGGTTTTGTTTAGACCAGATAGAGTATAAATGTAATAAAATGTAAATTAAAAACAGACTAAATATGCCCAATCATAATTAGCTTTAAATTTTTATATCAATCCCTACTGGAGAAAATGTATACATCATTTTAATAAAGAATGATTGTTCACAATTTTATTTAATATTTTCAATTTACCTGGCTCATCCTCAACAAGGAAACTGAAATAAAGAATCATCATTTGATTAAAAGATTGCTTTCTTACATAATTATTTCTATTACTACATTATTCATATTTAAAAAGCTATATAAACATTTAAAATTAACCTCATTTTAAATGTTGTTGAGTGAAGTTTTTACTGAAAACTCTTTGGTAATAATTTGGCTTATGGCTGAGCTTGACTAAAGCCTCAGCTTTTATATCATACTATAAATAACTTTCAGTGCTGTGTGCAAAAATTAAGATCTGGTGCTTGACATGGCATGCCGTCAACAAAATTGATCCTTCCAAGAAACCCGTCGCCAGAAATAAATCAATATGAATGAAAATGCAGTATAGAAATTACCCTTGCGATCTATAGCATGCTGAAATGAATTTGTTTGAATGTGTGTGAACTAAGTTTCATGATTAAACCTGCAAGTAGCTATGGTGTTGTAACCATAAACAAAGCTGTATTCTTCAAACCAAAAAAAATATTGAGTTATTAAACCTGGATGTTATGGTAGCTCTATGTGTTATAATAGAATCCCCAAGATAAGCTTACTGAAATTTTGTAAATAATTAGTGATTACTTTGTACAAACATTTATCAAGGTGGGTGAAGGAATGTTTTACTTTAACAATCACGGAGAAATAGTTTGTGTGGGGAATAGCAAAACCGAAACTCCATTTTTCATTAACTGATGTCAAATACTCATTATAGCTCAATTTATTGTTTGAACAAAGTTGTAACATTTTTTAACAAGTATTAACTAATTCATTTAGTTAGGCATTATATAACACAAAAATATATTTTTACTCACAACTTTATGCAATGTTATATAAGTTGTGCATAATCCCATAATTTTGTGCAATACATCCAAAAACTATGGTTTTTCTAAAAAATATTTTCTGTAACAACTTTTTCCCCAGCTGTTCAATTAAATCTCATATTATTAAAATCATATGTTTTTATACTTCAGAACTAAATTCACTGAAATGTTAATCCTAGTTTTACCTTTATGTAAAATAGAACATTAGCTTTAAATATGAAATCTTTGTCAGTTGTTTCTCATAACTTTCTGCAATATTTGCTGATTTGAAGTCATTGTTTAGCTCTCTGGGATTACCTATAAAAAAAAATATAAAAAATTTATAAATCATTATAGTATTTATAGCCTTGAATGAAAAAAAGTAAAGTTCTCTTTTTGAACCTACAGGTCCATGGGCAAATGAAGTAGAGTTGCCATTTCTGTAACTTCAGCATATGAAGGGATAGTGTGGTCTACACTATCCCAGCAGCATTTACTCTCCCTTATATGAGTTAGGTACTCATATATATATATATATATATATATATATATATATATATATATATATATATATATATATATATATATATATATATATATATATATAATCATACCTAAATCAACCATAAATTTGCAGTTGAAGTACAGTGGATTGCAGCTTTTTTCACAACCAGTAGATAATTGTTTATGTCTTCCTTTTTCACTTAAGAAAATGTAAACATAATAAAAATGTAAAAAAATAACCCCCAAAGCTTAGTGTTTTGGTCATCAGCCATTTGCCTTTGTTTTACTGTTTGTAGTCTAGGTCTCTTTCTTTTATTTAATATCTATATATATAATTCTCTTCATGGGGACCATAGAAGACACCATGCAGCTTAGCCACCACCCTCATCCCCACCAGTCAGGTGAGCTGTGGTTCACCCTGAATGTTTACAATAGTAGAGCCAGTTCGGTTCGAATAAGTAACGGCTATTAGGGGCAGATAATTTAGTTTTTAAACAATTTGAAAAGGGGAGATAACAAGTTCTGAATTATATTTTCCTTGTTGTCTGTAAATGGCTGCTTTCATTGGGCGGGATGGAGTGGGGGATGCAGGGCGGTGGGGTAGTGTGGAATTCACAAATTATGAATTGTTGATAAGTAGAAAATAAAACAACTAGATAGCGGTGTATGCTACGTCACAAGTCAGCTCATTATTAATAAATAATTAAATAAAGTACCCTGCCATAAACTAAACTAAACTTCATGGTCAATGGGCATGGGACAAGTAGAGTTCACTTGTTTCAGTGTCCTCGGCATATCAGAAGAGATAGTGTTACATAATAGTGGGGCTAGTACTCCAGGCCAGCTGCCTTTAATTTCCCTGCCCTAAGCCCTAATCAGGTACCCATCAGGCATCATCAGAGCGGCTGAGCTGAGTAGTCAGAGCTGGAAGGGCTCTGGTTATAATCAGTCTGGTACGTCCTACCACCACTCTCCACTGCGGCTACACACACTCAATGGACAACAATCCCATTAGGCACAGTTATTGATAAACTTAATAAGTTAATATTTAGACCTAATTACTACTAATTAGTAATTTTTAATTACAATGATTAGTAATAGTAGGCCCCTAATAACAGAAAGATCATCAACCATCACTTTTTCTCTTTTGACTTTTGTTGTTAGAGTTATCACGGCGTCTATCTCAACCAATAGTAATAGCATTATAAAGATTTACTTTTGTTGCCAGATAAAATAATAAAAATTTGCCAATCAATATTATCGAAATAAATTTCAAATCATTGAGTACCTAAGAATTTAATTTTCACAAGCAAAAATAAAATAATTGCAGCTATTCAATAAGAATTAAATACTCATTTCTTTTTTGCGCATATTTCAAAATAGACATTTGGGTTATAATTAGCATACTATAGTCAGTTAATGCTTTGCAGACCACGAAGAAATACCACTATTAATAATCATAAAATACATTGAATGATTCTAACATTACCGTTATGAAATCTTCAAATGATTAAATAGGCCTATTTGTTTAAGAAAAAAATAACATTTTAGCTATACTATATTTTTAATATTTCATTTTAATTAGGTCTACTTAGTTACCTTTGGGGTCATCCATAAATGACGTCACGCTTTTTTGACGATTTTACCCCCCCCCCCCCGTCACACATAGTCACAAAAAGCCAGACCCCCCCCCCTCAGTCTACAACCCCCTTCAAAATTGCATTTGAATATTTCATAAAACATCGATAATTTTCCAAAATCTTGTCTGAACTCTCTCAACATAGAGTATATTAATCAATTTCTATTACAATTTATAAAAACAGTTGTCTAAAACGCGAAATAACAGCTAAAATTCGTTTTCTAACATTGCTTTTTTATAATTCCAAAGCGTGACGTCCCACCACCAGACCCCACCCCCTCCCCCTCATTACACACCGTCACAAAATTACGGACCCCCCTCCACCCTACGAGTGTGACGTCATTTATGGACGGCCCCATTTACATTATTTGCATTCATTATCAAGTAACATTATTATAAATTATGGAAATTTGAATGCTGCAAGAGAAAGGTTGCAGCAGAGAATTATTAGAACTTTGGAAAAGCTCTGGGATATTATATTATTGAATATTCTGAGACTTAATAATTAATTATAGAATAAAAGTGTTCCGGAAAAAAATAAGGAAATAAACAGTAATAGTTAGCTCAGGCAAATGATAATGATAGAAAAACCTTGTTCTTAAAATAACCAACAAAAAAAAAACATTGAAAGAAATAATAAAACAAGTATTGATGAAATTTTTATTTCAGTTTATTACTTTTTTTTATTAAAAAGGAGAAGAATAGGCTAATCAGTTATGGCTATGTTTACCAGACTTAGAGTAACAAAGAAAGGCTAACATGTAGGCCCTACAGCTTCAGTCTCACACCATTCAACAAACTAAATTCAACAGTTCTTGTGAACAGAGGTCAGATGTACTTTGGTTTTGAATTTTCAAAGGTTTTAAAATATGCACAAAATAAAAATATTATACTTTATGACATTTTAAAACAATTATTTTATATTTTTTTAAGACTCAGTGGCAATTTAAAAAACAAACAAAAATCTTTTTAAATTGTTTAGTTTTTAAACACATTTACAAAGCTGAAGCAGTCTTAATTAAAATTGTTTTACAGAAAAATCAATTTTGTTTATATGATTTTAAAAAATAAACAGTTTCAAATATTTTAAAAAGAATTGTAACATTTACCTATATTAGATATAGTCTATGTGTATATAAAGAATCAATATATCTCAAGCAAGCATACATACATGAAAAGATAGCTCCACATTGCTAAATCTAGTACATAATCTATAGCACAGTAGATGCAACCAAAATATATAATCTTATGTAAAATACCCAAATGATTATGAAACAAAATTATAAATGAGCTAACACAATTAGTCATTTTTTTTAAATAATAGAAAATTTTATTTCAGCAGAGACCAACATTTTTTACCATTTACTCCCGTTTTATTGTAAATATAATCGTGTTCTTAACATGTTAGTTTTCTTTTTAAACAAATGGTTGAAAGCAAAAATCAGTGTGTGTGTGTAGAGATTAGAATTTTTACTTATGGAGTTTCTGTTGTAGTGTAAAAGAAAAACAACTCAGAATATTAGTTTTTGTATTGTTTTATAGTGATAAGTTTTATTATTCTTGTTTAATAGTAAACTTATCCTTAATAAGATCAGTGTCTTTAGTGTTTTGATTTAGTCATTGTATGCTTATAAAATTTAGATATTTTGTATGTAATGTAACATAGATTCCCTGTTAACTACTCTAAGTGAATTATCTTGGTAGAAAATTTATAAAAACATGTCTTTGGTTGTGTTGTTTGAGATACAATAGAGAAAAATCAATTAGAACCACTAATTTAGGAAAACAGTCCCTGCTAACTAATAGACACCGATATGAGATATACAGTACAACTCCAGCTCATAAAAAATTAGCATGAGATAGCAGTGAATCAGTGCTAAGTAAACTTTTCTCAAAATAAGATCAGTCTGTTTATAGGAGCATGCCACTGGTAAACTCTATACACAGAAAGAGAATTCTAACAAAAACAATAAAGTCTTGCAAGATAAGTAAAAAAAAAAATGCAGTAAGATTTTTCAAGAAGTTTTTATTTTCTTACATACTAATATTGAAATGGTTACAATAAAGAATCTTTATAAGTTCATTTTAATTACAAACATATTAGTCGTATTTTTTTTTAATGTTTGCTAAAAAATATTTTTTTATTTTTACAATATTGGAATACTGTGTTTAAGGGGAGAGAATAAACACTGTTATAAAAGCTTGTATATTATTTTAATTATAACCACTCACAGATGAACTACCTTATAGTACACATTGTTATTTGTGGATAGCATAAGATGTACAAATAGATGGTTAATATTTCAATAAAAAATTCACTGTGAAAGTATTTGAAAGTAGAGTCAAAATAGCCACTCTGCTTTTTCAAAGCATAAAATAATGGTGTGAAATAAAATTTGTGCAAATAAAACGAGAAATTATTAGACTTTAGAGGGAACACAAAGTATTATATTTCAATAATATGTTTAGATTCACTGGGGTGACATACAAAACATGCAGTTATAATTTGTAAAAATATAATGTAATTTTTAAAAATATTCACTCAACAGTTCTGATGGAGCCAACACTTAAATTAACTATGTATAAAAATGATTACTGATACCCTTTTCTACATGATGTGCAAACATTAAATCATGATTTTACTTTATAAAGTTTTTACTTTTAATCTAAAATTACATAACCAGATTTTAATAACTGGCTTCTTTTTTCTGTTACCAAAAATAATTTATATTAGATTGTTAGTTATGTTTCTGTAAAAGAGCTAGAAAGTTAGCCAAAACAAATAAAAACAATTATAATGCTAGCAATATAAAAATTAAATACATAAAATGAGCGCTTCTTTTGTGACGGTACGCACCGGTACAGCGTACCGGCATCTTTTCCAATGTGGGGAAATAATTATTACTTTTCTTGTATTTTAACTTTTATTATTAATTTATCATATAATTAATTTGTTAAAAAGTTAGGCAATCCATCACTGAGTACCAAGACCTATTTTTGTTACAAAAAAAAGCACTGCGTAAAATATACACATATTGTAAACAAAACTGACAGTTACTATATAATAGTATTTCGTATCTATGAGTGTATGTGATTACAACAAGCCTCACTAGAAATTATAAGGCAATCACACAGAATATAAATTAAAAATTCCTTCAAAGCAATTACTCATGTTTCTTTGCTCAGATGTAATGATAATGTTGGGTCAGCCATTTGAAACAAATTTACAATCTGAATGTAACTGGTTGGAAGAAAGAATTTAATCTAAGAGGCACTATTCAAGTAACAAGAAAACTTAATTAACATTTACAAAAGTATGTTTAAAATTTCTTAAAAGTCCTCATATACATAAATATATAATGATTTCTTAAAAATTAAATTGTAACTGGTTTGACTGCATGCATTAAACCATTAACATAATTTAGATATTACTGGTGCTCTTTAGCACTAAAGATAATAAATCAGACTACCGTAAGCTACTAAAGATAAATAAATCCAACAACTGTAAACTACAACTGAATAGTTGTAATTGAAAATTACATTGCTTAAGATATAAATTTTTGTATATTTCCTGTCAAATTAGAATTAAAAAGTTATTAACAAATTATTTTAGCGTAATTTAATCTCAATCCAAATCAAGAGAGAGCTTTCTGAAAGCGCCCTGGCATTTTTACAGAATGAACAATCACATGAATTTTTCAAAACAGAAACTAATGTTTATAGTTACTTACATGGAGCTGATAAAACAACAAAATTAAGCAGGAATGGAAATTGAGAAAATATTTTACAATTTTAACAAATTATTTTTTCAAAAAGTGTAACAAACTTGTTTTAATACTATGCTTGATAAACATTAACAAAAGTAAAATTAAACACAATTTTTTTTTTTAAATTTAACTCACAAGGCTATATATTTAACAATAAGAGATTGTGTTAATTTGTAGTTCAAAAATAGCTCTTATAAATCTAAATATTTTATAAATGTACAAGATTTTTTGTAATTTTACATTACACTTTCTGCATTGTTATGATACTTGAGTTAAAAACACGTCTCAAGGTTCTTAAAAGAAAAAAAAATCATTTAAATATTGAAAAGTTTTAAAATATAAATAAAAAATAATTTTTATGTCATTTAGTGTTGAAGTAAAGTTGTCAATGAACAATAAATTCAATAAACTATTTAAAAGTCAGATTCCACATTCGAAACAAAAAATATTCAATGCTTTTTGAATGTTCAAGAATGAAACAATAAATACATTAAAGCATTAATAGATACATTTCCCATGACATGCACAACAAACTACCAGTTAATATGAAATGCAATAGACTAAATTATTAAATATAAAAAAATGGCTGGGAGTATTTTCTCCTAATTATGTTTTTAAAACAGAAGTTTTTTACCTATCAGGTATGGTCTCGAAGGATACACTTTCCTTTTAGTACTAATAATAGAATTTTAGTCAGTTACTTCAGATGTAGCCATTTATATGATTTTGGACCAGTAAAAAGTGAATACAGAAACAGAAACAAAATTCTGAATCAAACAAAAGATGCACCAACTAAGAGTAAAAGAGTTTTAATAGTGTTGCAAGGTAGTATACAAGGTCAGGGTTATGCATCTTGAAGGTCAAGGTTACAAGACTAGCTTAGTTTAAGCCAGAAAGAGACTGTGCATATATTTACATCAAATCTCAGAATATGCTATGTACAACAGTATGAAAAAAAATACATGTAAAGTATCCTTGACAAATAAGTTACACATCTTTTTTTGACAGTGTAATGTTTGTTTTTTCATAGATTTAAAATTTTGTTTACAAACATACAATGGAGACTCACACAAATTAAAGGTGTTTAGTTGTTTTAACGTTTCAAAGTGAATAGTTGACAACACAACATATGTATGAATCAGCAGGCATACAAAATCACACGTTATAAAACAGCTTCATGGGCTGTAACATACACCACAAAAACAGCTGCAAGTGATGCTGGTAATAAAACAACTGCAAATTAATAAGTTTACAATTGACTTAGAGAAGTATTGTTTTACAGGAAAAAATTATTTTAAAAAGCCAGCTTATGTTACAACCAGCGCCAATCTAAGTGAGAAAAAAAACGTATCACAAAATTTTTGTTAAAAACTTTGCTCCGCACTTCAAACAACCTCGTTCAGCTCATGCCTCTTGCCCCTGTTTGGGGCGACATCTTGACCCTCTGAAACCCCAGGGTTCACACATGCACCCTCGACTTCCACCACCTCCTCCCCTCCCTGCCTGGAAGTCCCAGCATCCTCATCCTTGTGCTCCCCTTCAACGTGTTGGCTAGTCCTCTTCGTCGTTCTCTTCAACTCTTTCTTCTTCTTTCTTCTCTCTCTCCTCTCCTCCCGCGTTTCATCCACCAAGAAAGCACCCTCACCCTCAGCTTGACCACTGTCCACACGCTCAGGTTCAACGTCCCTCAGTTCTTCCTCCCTCTTCACCTTCCTCACCCTCTCGTGTCTTTTCCTCTTGCGGTCTGCCCTTGTGCCCCTGCCTTTAGAATCCTGTCGTGACACCTTCGGATGTTGTGTGGTTTGGGTTGTGCTCCTTCTTTCAGAAATTCCAACCCCGCCAACTGCTCCCAAGTCTGGTTCTGAGTCTGAGGCCATGATGGCACTCTGGTCATTTGTTACAGATACGTTTGGCTGCTCGCCTGAAATAAAAAAAAAAAAATTAAGAAACTGGTCACATATAATTTTACATCATTATATCTTTTAAAAACTATGGAGTGCCTGGTCACACATTTGTTTTTTAAGAGTAAAAAGTTCAGAAAGAAAGTTTATTTTACAAAAGAAACCTTTCTTTTATTTAAAAGTAATTTAGCTTAAACTGAAACTGTTTTTTCTTATGATTAATAAAAAAAATTGAAAAAAATAATTAAATTTGCTTTTTAAAAGTTATTTTACCTAATCATTAGTTCATTTGTTTTTTAAGAGCAAAAAGGTTTTACTAAAGAAACCTTTTTTTTTAAATTTTAAAGTAATTTTGCTTAAATTAAAAACTGTTTTTTTCTTATGATAAATAAAACAAATTTAAAAAAAAATTGCTTTTTAAAAGTAATTTTACCTAATTGTAAGTACTTTTGTCTGTCAGCGATGTTAAATAAATTTTTAAAATTACATTTCTTATTAAAACAAAAATTTTTTAATTGAACCAACCATTAGCAGTTTGAGAGTCAGTGGCGTTGTTTGTCTGGCCAGTACGACGAGGAAACCTCCTCTCACTGCGAGTGGCATAAGCTCTATTGGTGCTGCCCTGTAGAAGGGGGGTGCTCTCTGATCCAGTGGTGTTGGCTGTACCCCCAGCATCAGAGTCTGAGCTTTCAGACTCGGCACTACCTGGTATGACGCGCCGCTTGCACACCGGACAGGTCTTCTTGTTTTTGGTCAGCCAGGGGTCGATGCACTTTGTATGGTAGACTGGAAGATTAATTCAAAGTTTTATTGTTAAATTTAAAACAAGCAATTTTTTTTTAAATTACTAGTGTAAAATTTAATCCTTTTATCTTCCACTTAATGCACAGTGAAATTTGTCACTATTTATTTTTTAGGAACAGAATAAAATGTTTACTTAAATTTTATAGGGCAAACTGATTTTATTAGTAGCATAGGGCTATGAGACAGAGTGGTTAAGGTATAAAACAATTGATTGCTAATTCAGAAGTGACTTTGTTGATATTATTACAGGAGTCTAATAAAGTATATAAGTCACTTCATATGCTGCAGCAATATGCCAATACAGAGGATATTTCACTTTATTTGAAATGAGCATAAAACACTTTTTTTAAAAATCTGCTAATTTCTGAAGGAAAATAAATAAAACTGTACCATGGTCACAAGGAAGAACTCTGAGTTTCTCCCCTTCTTCATACTCATCTAGGCAAATAGCACAGGTGTCATAGTAGTCACCTACAAATAAATGAAACAGTTACATTTTTAAAAAAATGAAAATCTGAGTAAAAACTGATATGCAATGGCTTAAGTTAAGTGTACAGTTTATTTTAATAATAGAAGAATGAATAAAAACTGATTCAACACATCAAATAGATCAGCTATACAATATAAATATACTACCATATATTTTAAGGTACAAGAAACAGCTAATTTCATTAAAGTAATATTTTTATTATATCAGTTTACATGCAGAACTATTTTCGACCCCAAGAAACACATCTCAATGCTATGTGTAGTAATTAAGTTTGCAAGCAGCTTGATGGCTAATAAACTACATCTCACCTTTCTTGAATTTACGCACAGGTATTTTTTTTAAATGTTTGGATGATAAACGGTTGACTTTCTTTTTGATATGGTCTCTGCAAATCTTGATAATCTAAAGGAATAAAATGAGAAAAACTTTTTGATATGGTCTCTGCAAATCTTGATAATCTAAAGGAATGAAATGAGAAAACTATGCTCGGTATGTCCGTACATGACAACTCCAGAGTTTGTACTGCTCATCAAAACTTAAGATTCTAGATATTTCTCAAACCAGCTTTAACAAATTCCAGACCTACTACAGCTGTTTCTTTTTCTTCATTCCTAATTTTAGTGTTAGAAGAGAGTCCCTACAACACAATCAAGTAATAAGTGCCAACTTGTTTTGCGCCTTTAAGGCTGTTGACTCTTGAGATTTCAACCTGCTTTTGATTTTGGATTTATTTTCATATCCTTTGTCCAACAAAGAACAAACTACAAGACAGCAGGTGTTTGATTTTGGAATTGCCTCCTAGTTGAGTGGCTACCCCATCTATCAAGAAAGCCACATCTGCTAGGGGTTCGAACTCAGAACTTTTCAGTTCAGCAACTATGAGCTTAACCAACCCAACCACACTGACATCCAGCTATTAAAGTTTACACAATTTTTTTTTTAATCCCACTATAGTGTGACTATAAATTAAGTGATTTATTGTGGACAATACAGATGTGTTTAATTTATTATAGAAGCTGTACAACTTTACTACTAATTTCTAGCACAGCTTGAGTCACTAGGACATCTCAAAGGTCAGCAAGCTCAAATTGATACCAGACTAGCTAGACAATGGAATTGATCACAAGAAATAAGAGAAACCGATGAATTCTAATTATCCGCCCCTTAACTACTAGGTCTGTTACAGCACTTATCTACTTTACTAGGCTTAAATAATAACAACTTATAAAAACAAACTTTTTACTGGAGCTAATTAAAATCTAACTGTAGGAAAAATTTAAATACTGAAATTCTTGTTGAAGTGTTTGATTAAACTGGATTCAAATTTTCATTCTTTTAAATGTTGGAAAAAAATAATTTTGGCTTTAGCTAACTTAATTTTTTACTCACCATGTAAATTATTCCAACCAAGAAACACAAGGCAACAACCAATACAAAAGGCCAGATCATGAACTCAAACTGTGGGCCAAAGTCCTGAATTTCTATGATGATTTCTCTGAAAATAAATTAGATGGCTTTAATTAACTTTTGAAAAGTGGAAATCTTTTTGATAAAGTACAATGGATAAATAATAAAAGTATTTTTAAAATAACGATTTAGTTACTTGTGCTTGAAATTGTATGATGTGCTTAAGGCTTTGCCTGCAGTCAATCCAACAAAGGTCGATGGAATTTTCACAGCCTCTTTACCTATTAAGAATACATTTTGAAAAGTTTAACCAATAGGACTTGTTGAAACATTCCAATTGGTTTTAACCTTTGAGTTTTTAACATTGGTCAGACAACTGAGCATAATTTTTTTAAGCAGCGAGTTTTTAAAAAATGTGGACTAAAATATGAGCAACCACACTGCTTTAGTCATCTAACAATGAGCCAGGCAATTAGGAATTAATTATGTTTGGCTGCCAGGAAAAATTATATTTCATTGCCAGGAAAAATTATATTTCGTTGCCAGAGAAAATTAAGTTAGGCAGCAAAGGAAAAACTAAGTTTGGCTGCCAGTGAAATTAAATTTTGCAATGATAGTGAAATCAGGTACAATAGTAATTTATAAATAAAAGCAGCATACATTATTTATAATAAAAAAAAATTGATTACCATCTCCCCCCATGTTGACAAGATCATCACTTTGATTATTGTACACAATGGCAGCGTTGAAGTTGGCACGCTGGGCATGCCTGACCTGATGAAAGAAATTTGTGGAAGTTTAAGTACTTTATGCTTTACACAACCGACATTACTGTATGTGCTTTTGTAAATAAATAAGTGGGAGGATGGTTAATTTTTATGTATAACTTAATTTTAAAAATGGCTCTTCCCTTAAAGTAAGCTAACAAACACAAAATTAGTAAAACAGATAATTATTACAATGAGCACATTTCCACATAAAAACAGCAAGCTTTTATCTTTCCTTTAAGGAACAAAAACTTAATAAACATGAGTTACCTTTTCTGCAAAAGGACAGTCCCCACCTCTGACTATCAAGGCTATCCACTTATACATGGGGTCGGGAGGTGGTGCTGAAGTATTTAGTTTACTACATGCATCAAGGGGCTCCACTGGAATTATCCTTCCCTGGAATATAATAATTAATTTTATACATCAAAATTTGAGGGAAAATAATTTTACACATCAAAATTTGAGAGAAAATAATTTTACACATCAAAATTTGAGAGAAAATAATTTTATACATCAAAATTTGAGAGAAAATATTTTATGTGAAATATCTTGGATTAGTAACAGTAATGTTATTGTTAGCATGTATTTTTTTTAAAATCTAATTAAAAACTGTTTTAGAGAGAAAACATCAATGATTATAGTAAACTAGAAACATAACAGAAATAATATATGCCCAGATTAAATAATATAGGAATTTCTTTTATCATGAATGCTTGAATCCTGAGCAAACCACAAAAGTCAAGGGGGCATTGAACATAGGCTAGATGTGACACATAGCAAAATGTCATGAAAACACAGCCAGAATGACATTTAACATACCTGAATTCCATCTTCAGGAAAGTCTGGTCCAAACTGAGCTGTGCGGTCATTATAGGTGATCGAGGTTTCATTTGATGTCGTGTTAAACTGTTGAAATAAACATGTAATTGTGTGTTTGGCTGTTGGGGTAAACACTTAAGACTGTTTAACACAGTGTTCAGGTGTTAAGGTAAACATATAACACTGTGTATGGCTGTTGAGGGAAACATTAAACACTGTGTTCAGCTGTTGAGGGAAACATTAAACACTATGTTTAGTTGTTGAAATAAACATTAAACACTGTGTTTGGCTGTTGAGGGAAACATTAAACACTGTGTACGGGTGTTGAGGGAAACATTAAACACTGTGTTCAGGTGTTGAGATAAACATATAACACTGTGTTCAAGTGTTGAGATAAACATATAACACTGTGTTCAGGTGTTGAGATAAACATATAACACTGTGTTCAGGCATTAAGATAAACATATAACACTGTGTTCAGGCATTAAGATAAACATATAACACTGTGTTCAGGTGTTAAGATAAACATGTAACACTGTGTTCAGCCTGTGGGGTATACATCTGAGAGCAATGTCAGTATAACCACATATAATAAACACCAGCCTCAATGAAGAAACAATAGATCTCTAAGTGTAGTATGTAGATCAGGTCACCCATTCATTCATACACTTTTCTGTAAGCATTGGTTGGACAGGTCATTGTGGAGATCACAACACTTTGTTTTATCATATGTTGACAAGGGTTTATGACCTAACAGTTATTGTGGAGAAGAAGTAGAGTTCATCTGCTTCTATTGACCATGGGATAGTTAATACTATGCCCAGCCACCTTTACTTTACATGAGCCAGTTACCCAACCAAGCTGGGTGAACTCAGTTAAATCCTGGGATCAAAACATGTGTGTTTTCAGTCAGGCGTTCTACTGCTTGCCATGCTGTCCCATAATGGTATGATATACTCACCCTAAAAGCCAAGATCACTGACATCAATATACTTTTAACATGACTGATCAAACACATGAGAACACATCAGAGTGTGATAAGCACATCAAGTCAGCTGCTACAAGAAACATGACTTAAAAGACTGCTGGGCAGCCACAATGACTCACCACAATGATGTCACTTTTAACACTGGGCAGAAGCATGAAGCAGCTTATTACTGTAACTATGGCAACCTGCATGTTGTTTAGAGACAGGGGTCCCTCCATTCTACACTCCTATGAAATAAACAATCATATTTTTTTTTAAAACCAATACACCTTTTTTAAACAAAAATTAATGGTATAAAATGGTATAGATTTTAATTAAAACAACATTTTTAAGTTAAAAACATTGTATAGAGGATTTCTTATATTGAATCTGATAATAACTATTAATTTTATTTAAAGATAACTGGGAAATAATTTTGCATTTAAGTGTTAACCTTTCACAATAGTTAAATAACCGCATATGTATAAATAGTTAGCTGAACTGTAGAGTAACTTAATTGTGTTTCAAATTACGAAGTCCATAATACCACCACAGTAACTAGTTAAAATATGACCCAGTCAGCCCAGCATACCAAATTACTCTCTACTAATCCACTGTCATTATAAGATTAGATTAAAATCAATGGGGGTAAAAGTAGCAATTATTAAGCTAAAAGAGTTAATGTTCTTGGAAAAAAAGGAAAACTGTTTTGGTATGATGATTGGCTGATTCTTTACTAGCCTCTTGTGGTCATTTCTTAGCCTGAATGACAGGTACCTTTTAGAGCTGGATGAACTCTTGGTGCCTGACCACACAATCTGAAAACTTTAAGTAACAGATGAACTCTACTTCATCTACCCTATGATGGCCAGCCTTCCATGAATTTTTTTTTTACTCCTTATAAGAGTGAAAAAGCTGTAAATGTAACTAATTTTGGTTGTGAAAATACTTAATACGGGCTAGACATTTACCGAGGTGCATGCAAAAAATTAGCCTGACGGTAAGTGTTAAAATTACCCAAATTCTTTATATCAGCAGTTAAAAAAACATCAAGAATACAAGACTGACCTCTAGGTAAAACTACTAATCTTTGCCTGGTAAACGATGTGTCATCATCGGCTTAAATTTCCTGTAAAAAAAATATGTATTGTGCTGAAATTGTCAAAAAAAAATTATATGACATACCACAGTGATAGCCATACACATACAGACAGAAATTATTTTTATACTGCTAATACTATTGATCAAGACCGGTGAGTTACTCTGCTGTGGTCACTAAGTACTGCCAGCTTAAATATACCCAAGTAGTAATGAAAGTAAAACTGTATCACACCAAAAACTAGCCTTAGCTCTAACCTGAACCTGACATATATATAAAGTCAGTGTATATCTAGTGACACCAAAAGTAATAAGATTTCTTTTTTTAAATTAAGAACACACCACTACGAATGAGGATCTTAAAATAAATTAACAATAAAGATATAAAGTCAAAAGAAAAAAATATTGCAACACTTTTTCAGTAAATATGAATGAGAGCATAAATAATAAAGTATCCTTTTCATGTGATCAACAGAAACATTTTTTTTAAATACCCAGCATCTCAAAAGTCTAAAGAATCACCACAAACAGACATCTCTTCTATATAAAAAAATGTATAAATAATCATGACCCCAACCTAGTACACACCATATAAGAACTAGGATGTAGATGCGCTATAGCCAAACCAACAAGTCTAACTGCAATGTAGGGCACATGAATCAAATGTCCTTTTCACATTAAGAATTTGTTTACACTTCCTGTTCCATCAAATAAACTTTTGAGTCCTATCATCACCTATCACAATAGAAAACAGTAAATGAAGATTGCTAATAATTAAATTTAAAACAACTAACCCAGGTAAACACACAATCACATGTCACACTACAAGGAAAAATTTAATTTCTAAAAATAGATCACATCTCTTACACAGGTGTTGTTTTTTATTCACTCCCTTGCATGTTAAATTATTTTTATATTCACTACCATACCTTGTAAATTTTAATTCCAATACTTAAATCCTGTACTACTGTACTATTGAAATTAAAAGGTGTCTGCTTTGTAAACAATAACAATGCCTCCTCTCAGTAAAATGTCACAGGACACTACAACAAAGGACTTAATCACAGTCAAGACTGTTCAATACATAATATCAACATGCTATCAGTAAACTACAAGGTGTACACACGGCTTCCCTATTTTTACACATTACTAATGGCGAGATAACACATACTGATAACACATGATGGGAATCAATGGCTCTTTATACTTGACACAATAAGAACAATAGTTTGATAAAGATCTTAATATTTGAAGAAAAATGAGGGGTGATATTATTGATGAGGCCTGAACACAGTGAGATGGGAGCAGGACATTATCTACCCCTTGGTGAATCCCCCCCCCCCCGGTACATCATCTCCCCTGGTCTGTTGAGAGGTAGAAACAATAGTGGTAGATTGAGGATACATTAGGGGTCATCCATTTATGACATCCACACGCGGGGGTCCGAAAAAAAACTGACTTTTGTGGAAGCATATGGATTTTTATAAGGAAAAAAGTGGATTTTTGTGGACGGGGGTCCAAAATCCAAAAAAATTGTGGACGTCATAAATGGATGACCCCATAGGGACAGGATCGTGGTTAGATTTAAGCTTAAGCGACTGATTAGGTTTACGCTTAAGGTTAAATATAGGTTTAAAGTTGAAGGTTAGAATCATGTTTGGGGTGTAAATTGACAGGGGGTTATCTGGGATCCCCCCCCCCCCATGAGAAAGAACAGAATACAGTAAAGTGATGGTACAAATAGTATAGGGTACTCATTATTCAACTCAGTGTTTCAAGGCTAACATTTTAATGTGAACTTGATAAAATCCTAAATAAATAAAGATGGCAGCCATTTCACGGTTAGCATTTAAATACATTGTGATACATTTCATCCCTGGTTTTCCTAGGTTTAAATCAATTATTACACAAATAGACTCTTACCAGCAGTTAATATACAATTAATTGGTTTATTTCATTGATTGTGTGGCAATGTGGTGATAATAATTACACATATTAAAATAAGAATGGCTAAGAATTTTAAAAATTTCTCTGGCATTGAACTAAGAGACAAGTACCAAAACATGTAGTTTTTTTTTTTACAGTGTTTGCACGTCTCTCTCTTCAAAGCCAGACCTTCTTTTTTTTTAGTTCCATTAAAACCATTAACGTTGTTTGCCAAGAAATGTTTTTTCTAAAACTGTTGTTATAAAACTTGTTGAAATGTATTTCCTGATAAAAATTAATAAAATGTATTTAAAACTTCAATAAATAAGCCTAAAACCTTTAAGTTGAATAATAAGTCTCACTATTCAATTTAATATGTAGATTGATAATGTTTATGTAATACATCACTTGCTTGAAGTTTTCATTTTAAAATTATTTTCAAAAATTTATAATGCTTAGACAAAAGTTTGTAAAGCAGGCCTATTGATTTTTTGTTTAATATTAACATTAAAAAAGTATGACAGATTTATTTGGAGAGCTTGTGTAAGTTGCCATGTAGCCTTATAATCTTTTTCCTTCTTCTTAATTACAAAGTTGGACTGGATTTCCTCTAACACAATTAAGCATTAAATGTCAACATGTTATGTGCCAAATGGCCTGCAGACTCTGGTTTCAGCCTGCTTTTCTTTTTAGACTTGCTTCAATAGCAGTTGTCCACCAAGAACAAACTACCAGGCAGCAGTTTGATTCTGGAGTTGTCTCTCCTAGATGGGTTGCAGTCCCATGCCATTGAGTCTTATATAACCAAGGTTTGGAACTTGGGAATTTTCTGTTTAACAGCCCTACCAAGCCAACCACATGTATAATCTAATTACTATTAGGTCAATATACGTGCGTATTTTTTAAATGCAATAAATTAGCACCTAAGTAAGCCAAAGCCTCAAGATTGATGTATATTTACTACCTGATGTAGTTTAGATTGGAATTTTAAAAATTCAAAATCAACAAATAGGCTAATCAATAACCAAATTAAATAGCTGTTACTTTCTAAAATTTACATATAAATTAATTAAACTGTCAGTTGCAAAGCTAGGCTGCAAAACAATTTTTAAAAATTCGATATAAGAGTTCCTTGCAGGAATAAATGAAAACACTATTAAACCTAGAAAGGACAGCCTTTCTTTTAAAGTTACGAATGTTTTTACTAGATCTGTATCTGCCATAAATATATTTTTTAAGTTTAAAATAGTGAGGCCCACATCTTGTATTGAAAATGTTGTTTGTCTGTCTCTCATTCACAGAACTGTTACATTATTCCTGTTTCTAGTTCCCATAGTGAATGACCATAGTCTATGGCATAGTCCTGTCCCCCATACATAAGGCATAACCTTCCGCAAAGGCCTAATGAGTAAATTTTACAACTATGTGCTTTTGTGTAGATTCTAGGATCTAGAGTTCTAGACTAATAAATATTAAATAAGACTAAGACTAATCGTAAACTCGAGCTAGATGCTCTGGTCTGTGTGTAGTGTAGAGTGTAGTGAAGTGTAATTTACTGTAATACAACAGCTACTAGATCTAGATCTAGAGTAAAGTGTAAAGTGGCGTCTGCGGACAGACGTAGCAAAAAAAACGGAAGTGCCGATTTCCATTGAGCGCCATTCAGTAACCGCTTCACATAGAAACAAACCGAAAGTACCGTCTCACTCCGCATTCTTTCTAGTTTAATCACGTCTGATTCATTTTGTATTCATACGCATAGCATTGAATGTATTAACATTTTCAGTGGTGAGACTCTGTGCGGACAGTAAGTGCACTTTTTTTTACATTTTATTTTCTGTGCGCACACTTGCTCCTTATGCGGACAAGGCATATTTTGTTCATTTTATTTCTATTTAAATGATTGAAATAAACATGTTACATACATAAATAGCGTTGTTGATTGTTTTATATATTAATATATTGGAAAACAAAAAATATGAAGAAATATGAAATAAGTTTTAATTAAATTAAAGTGATGCCTGAAAGAAACTCAGGACCCAGTTGAGATTTTATTTCACTTTTTGCTTAGTAGACACGTTTGATGATCAAAAATATTTTTAAAACCTAAAAACGTTACTAAAAACTTATAGATCTAGATTTAGACTTAAATTTAAATATAAATCTGGAGTATCAAGATTAGTTCAAAGTTTCTTTTTACTTAAAGTGTAAGAAATATACTCTGATTTTTCATTATTGTCCGCAAAAGGTTAACCCTCAAAAAATATGCGGACACCCCAATTTTTCCTCTAAGATGGCTTAAACAACCTCAACTATGATATTTATAGCTTTCTATATATATATATAAGCTATTTATAGTTAACCCAGTTAACTAAGCTATGATTGGTTTGATTTATTCCTCTAATCCGGGGACTAGTGCTCTTCATCCAGGTGAGGTTCCCTTTCATAAAACGTCATACATCGCAACTTTGAAAAATTCCAATTAATCTCCCTATTGAGTGAAATAGAAGAAATGGACTCAGATGTGTTTAAAAATGGACATGCTTTGTGTTGTTTGCGTTAGTTTCCTATAAAACATTCATACAATTATTGTTTAAGCGAAAAACAGCAAGGTGTCCGCACAGAGGCAACTGTCCGCAGACGCCACTTTACTCTAGATTTAACTAGATCTAGAGACTAGATTTCTACTTTCTAGAGCTAGCGCACAGTAGTAGAGTCTAGTCTAGATGAGAAGACTCGGGTACTCAGGACAAAACATTTAATTAATTAATAATGATTTAACACACAATAATTACAATATTCAGTGACTCAGCGAGTGAGAATGGATACTCAACTCAAAACTGAGTGTGTCAAAACTTAAACTCAATGAGACAAATGAGATACTCAATCTCTGAATTCTCTGTCAAAGTCTCAAGTCTGTCATGAAGTCGTGAATAAACAACAATAATTTAATAAACATTGAAACTTAACTACTAACTAGTCTAGATCTAGATCTAGTGTGAAGAAATTGTATAAGACATTATAGATCTAGAAAATCTAGATTTCTAACCTTGTCTACAATTTGAAATGTTACTGATGCTGTTGTGTGTCTCTAATCTAGATCTAGATCTAGAATCTAACTAAAAATATTTCCAATTCCCTAAACCTTGAAAAACACTAGCCCGGAAGCTATTCTTTTACGACAATAACAATATTCACACGAGAGTGGTTTATTGCCAGATAGTGCTTTTCACTACGAAAATGGCCGAATAATTAAATTAAAGATAATTTTATTTAAATTCTGACGTTCTTAGATGTTAAAATTATTTAAGAACAAAAAACCTTTGTAATTTATTGTTGGAATATTCACTGGAAAAGTTTTGTAACATATTAATAAAAGAGTAACTCTTGCTAGAATATTACAAGTTTGGAATACTTTTATATAAAAGTACTGGTGTTATCATGTGATATTCAATTAGGGATTTAACAAAAGGTCATCAATTTATCATTCTTTTATAACATCAATGGGTGGGGTAGGGTGGGGGTGGATTATTTGTAGACGTCGTAAGAATTTAGTAGATCGGGGTATTGTCGGACTTTCTCAGATAGAATTTAACAACAAAATACACTTTAAAACAAACAAAACGTTCCATTAACCCTGCGTCACAGTACTCGTGTTTTTTATTTTAAAATCAGCTTACGACTACGGGCTAAGGGGTCGTCCATAAATGACGTCACACTCGAAGGGGGAGGGGGGTCGGTAATTTTGTGACGATGTGTGATGAGGGGGAGGGGGGATTCAGATGGTGTGACGTCACACTTTTGCTTTGTAGAAAAGAAATGTTAGAAAACGAATTTTAGACGTTATTTTGCGTTTTAGAAAACAGTTTTTATAAATTGTAATAGGAATTGATTAAAATACTCTATTTTGACAGATTTCAGACAAGATTTTGGAAAAATATCGATGTTTAAAAAAAATTCAACTGCAATTTTGAGGGGGGGTTATAGGCTGAGGTGTGACGTCATTTTAGGGGGGAGGGAGTCTGGCTTTTTGTGACGACGTGTGACGGAGGGGAAGGGGGTAAAAATCGTCAAAAAAGCGTGACGTCATTTATGGATGACCCCCTTTAATACATTTCTACAGGGCCATTGTTAACGACGTCGTCTCGCATTTTATCTATTTTTATTTCTCTAACCGTCCCATCGTCAAGCTTCATCATAAAAAGCCAGAACCCCATCGCATGGTGTTACATCCATCCTACCAGTGTTTTTTTTTTCAGGCATCTCTTCGAGGGCACGACCCCCCCCCCCCCCCCCCCCCCCACGAACGAAATAAAATCATAATAATATTTAGAATATATACTTTTAACAGTGCAAACATATCGTCTGTCGTTACATTTTCTGAATCCCCTCCCATCTCGTCACTGATATCACAAATCATCACAGAAGTTTGAACCTCCTCACAAATGGACGCCCCTTACGTTAAATGGTCTATATTGTTATATAATAATGTAGGTGCCCAATTAGTCTATGCTTTTAAAATTTGCAATAAAACAACGTTAAATTCAACAATTATCATTATTTAAATTTTTTTAAAAATAAAAATTCCGAACGCAATTATCGTCCACATAAGAAATATGAGCGATGTAGGTTTACGCAGATGACAAGGGATCTCTGGGAGTTTCCGGTGTTTTAAAAATATTGCAATATTCAATATAGAGTATAGACGAGTATATATATATATATATATATATATATATATATATATATATATATATATATACTAGGCATACTGCCTAGCTTCGCTTAGGTTTACAAACAAAATTGAGGAATTGAATGATTAATTAATATGTGATTTGCAGCTAAGTTAAATGCTGAGGGCCTTAATTTGTACAGTGGAGTAAATTCATGGCTCTCAAATATTGTTGGAATATTCGCAAACTTATTACTCGCACGGTTATTAGAACTGCAAGGGGTTTCTTAATAGTATCAATCAAATATTATAATAAATTACTTTCGCAATAATTTTTACAATATCAGTACAATGCAAAACTTAATTTGTAACAAAATATTTATTTAAAACAATGCTATCCTTTATGATTTTTGTTTTTTTTTCTTAAAAAGAGATTACGAAATATTTACATATTATTACATTAAAAAGTTACCTCCCCTGTTAATAGACCAAATGACCAAATCTCGTATAATTAGGATTTCACTCGCGGTCATTTTTCGCCCTCTTGGAGGGCTTTAAGTGTGACCAACAGTTTTTCCATACGGCGTAGTCATCTTTAGAGGTGTATACAAAAAATTAGCCAGATGTAAAGACGGTAAGTGCCCTCAAATCCGTTTTGAAATCACCCTCTGTTTTTCCCATAAAATACAAAGATTATATAGGGAAATACGACTGGTCAGTTTTGACCCATTTAACGAATTTTCCCAGACATGGCGAGTTTTTTGTGACACCCCAAGGCGTTCTCCTACCACCTCACAAAATTTCAAGGGGGGGCGTCGGAGGAAATGTTTTTTCGTAATAGAGCTCATATAAAGAGAATTTCACTCGCGGTCACTTTTTAGCCCTCGTCGAGGGCTTTGAGTGAAACCGACAGTTTTCCCTGAAGGTCAAGCCATTTACCTAAGAGCATGCAAAAAATTAGCCAGATGTAAAGACGGTAAGTGCCCTCAAATCCGTTTTGAAATCACCCTCTGTTTTTCCCATAAAATACAAAGATTATATAGGGAAATACGACTGGTCAGTTTTGACCCATTTAACGAATTTTCCCAGACATGGCGAGTTTTTTGTGACACCCCAAGGCGTTCTCCTACCACCTCACAAAATTTCAAGGGGGGGCGTCGGAGGAAATGTTTTTTCGTAATAGAGCTCATATAAAGAGAATTTCACTCGCGGTCACTTTTTAGCCCTCGTCGAGGGCTTTGAGTGAAACCGACAGTTTTCCCTGAAGGTCAAGCCATTTACCTAAGAGCATGCAAAAAATTAGCCAGATGTAAAGACGGTAAGTGCCCTCAAATCCGTTTTGAAATCACCCTCTGTTTTTCCCATAAAATACAAAGATTATATAGGGAAATACGACTGGTCAGTTTTGACCCATTTAACGAATTTTCCCAGACATGGCGAGTTTTTTGTGACACCCCAAGGCGTTCTCCTACCACCTCACAAGATTTCAAGGGGGGTCGTCGGAGGAAATTTTTTTTCGTAATAGAGCTCATATAAAGAGAATTTCACTCGCGGTCACTTTTTAGCCCTCGTCGAGGGCTTTGAGTGAAACCGACAGTTTTCCCTAAAGGTCAAGCCATTTACCTAAGAGCATGCAAAAAATTAGCCAGATGTAAAGACGTAAGTGCCCTCAAAACCGTTTTGAAATCACCCTCTGTTTTTCCCATAAAATACAAAGATTATATAGGGAAATACGACTGGTCAGTTTTGACCCATTTAACGAATTTTCCCAGACATGGCGAGTTTTTTTGTGACACCCCAAGGCGTTCTCCTACCACCTCACAAAATTTCAAAGGGGGTCGTCGGAGGAAATTTTTTTTCGTAATAGAGCTCATATAAAGAGAATTTCACTCGCGGTCACATTTTAGCCCTCGTCGAGGGCTTTGAGTGAAACCGACAGTTTTCCCTAAAGGTCAAGCCATTTACCTAAGAGCATGCAAAGAATTAGCCAGATGTAAAGACGGTAAGTGCCCTCAAAACCGTTTTGAAATCACCCTCTGTTTTTCACATAAAATACAAAGATTATATAGGGAAATACGACTGGTCAGTTTTGACCCATTTAACGAATTTTCCCAGACATGGCGAGTTTTTTGTGACACCCCAAGGCGTTCTCCTACCACCTCACAAAATTTCAAGGGGGGTCGTCGGAGGAAATTTTTTTTCGTAATAGAGCTCATATAAGGAGAATTTCACTCGCGGTCACTTTTTAGCCCTCGTCGAGGGCTTTGAGTGAAACCGACAGTTTTCCCTAAAGGTCAAGCCATTTACCTAAGAGCATGCAAAAAATTAGCCAGATGTAAAGACGGTAAGTGCCCTCAAAACCGTTTTGAAATCACCCTCTGTTTTTCCCATAAAATACAAAGATTATATAGGGAAATACGACTGGTCAGTTTTGACCCATTTAACGAATTTTCCCAGACATGGCGAGTTTTTTTTGACACCCCAAGGCGTTCTCCTACCACCTCACAAAATTTCAAGGGGGGTCGTCGGAGGAAATTTTTTTTCGTAATAGAGCTCATATAAAGAGAATTTCACTCGCGGTCACTTTTTAGCCCTCGTCGAGGGCTTTGAGTGAAACCGACATTTTTCCCTAAAGGTCAAGCCATTTACCTAAGAGCATGCAAAAAATTAGCCAGATGTAAAGACGGTAAGTGCCATCAAAACCGTTTTGAAATCACCCTCTGTTTTTCCCATAAAATACAAAGATTATATAGGGAAATACGACTGGTCAGTTTTGACCCATTTAACGAATTTTCCCAGACATGGCGAGTTTTTTGTGACACCCCAAGGCGTTCTCCTACCACCTCACAAAATTTCAAGGGGGGTCGTCGGAGGAAATTTTTTTTCGTAATATAGCCCATATAAGGCGCCGGTCAGTCGAGGTCAGTTTTGACCCCTTCTCCGTAGACTTTTCGGCCAACCGTCACCGGCCCTCGTGTTCTATCGCCCCAAGGCACCATCGTGCCAAATTAGACGCGCCTGCGGCGCCGGGAAGTGCCCTATCGGGCACCTGACCACTTTGCTTTATATATATAGATATATATATATATATATATATATATATATATATATATATATATATATATATATATATATATATATATGTGTGTGTGTGTGTGTGTGGTCTCAAGCTCATAATTTCAAGGCCTAGATCTGACTCGTTCTCGATAGACTTAAAGATCTATGCAGAACATATATCGTACAGTGGCTTAGGCCTAAGGGGAGGAGGGGTGTTGGATCCCCCGCCCCCGGAATTTTTTTCTCATTGCAAGAGCCCCCCCCCCCCTCTCCTGAACGAGATGGAATTTATATAGTAAACAAACATACTTTTACTAGTGTCCGCCGCCCCCCCCCCCCCCCCCGAGATAAAAAAAAAAAAGTCTGGAAGAAACACTGGTCCGATGTTCTGCCTTCGCTGCCCCAACCAAGTTTCGCTAATGACTAATACCAGCATTGTCACAAACATTTTTTGCTTGTTGAATAATCTGAGCCAAGACATGGATCTTTGTTGATAAAAATGTCTCACAATTATGAATACTTTTCTACCTATTTCAGAATGTCTTTGTTATAGTCTACGAATTGTCTTTAAAATAAAATACTAATTAAGCTAGAAACTAGTAGTACGGTAGATTCAGCCAACAAATGAGCGTAGGTGTAATGTAAGCCTTTTTTCCCACGTTTTCTTTAACTTGCTTTCTCTGTGTCTGTGTTTGTTTGTCTTTCCAATCAAATCTTGCGATCGAAATTTCTGGCACTTCCCAGTTAGCTAGCGCGCTGAAATTTTCAGGGAAGCTTTCTTTTGGATGACCATAGAATATGCAATTGTTATTATTACTAAATTGATCAATGGAAACATTTTATTAAGCATTTTAGACCGCTATATAATCTATATATATAATTCTCCTCTGCGAGCCATTAGAAAAAAAACCAGCGACGCGTACCTCGCGCGCAGTGAAGCGAACGATCCCACGTTGCCACAGGCTTAGGGGCAGATAATTTACTTTGAACCGAGTTTAAACTTACAGGATGTAGGCCAGTTTGGGGGAGACGATATGGTCGAGTGGTTGGGCACACGATTGCTATCCCACTCGACACAGAAACGTATTCACACAACGTGTTTTTTACGAGTTGTCTTTTTACGAGTTGTCTTCGTTTACCCAAAAAAAGTGAAAAGATAAAATCGATAGCAAGATTTTAATGCAAACAAACAGACAAAGACTAAAAAGTAGAAAATAATAATCATTAAAAAAGTTTTTAAAAACCCACGTTTTCTGATTGAACTAAAAAGTAGAAAATAAACGCTATACATCACAATAATGCAAGCGATCACTCTACTATAAGCGATCAAAAACGTGGGGCGCCGTGATTTTCTTACAGTTTCTAATACTGTTGACTCTTGCAAGCTCCCTAGTATTATCTAATCAATAGTAATATAACTTTTACTTCGGCGCCCCACGTTTTTGATCGCTTATAGTAGAGTGATCGCTTGCATTATTGTGATGTATAGCGTTTATTTTCTACTTTTTAGTTCAATCAGAAAACGTGGTTTTTTTTAAACTTTTTTAATGATTATTATTTAAGGAGTCATGTTGACTATATTTCTAAAATATTCTTTTACTAGTTTGTAAAATGAACTTCAATGGATAAGAACAGAAAAAAATCATGTTTTTTTTTCTTCCATTAACTAATTCTAGATTGGTTATTCCTTTGTTAATCGTTTTCTCATGTATTATAAGTAATTTTTCCAACACCCAAATAAAAATTCATTATCTGCCATTACAGCCTAAATAAAGAAAAACACTTGAGAAATCCAGCAAAATTGGCATTTTAATATTTCTGTAAGCAAACTCATTTTTAATGAACTTACTTTATGCGCACTGCCATTTCCACCAAGAAGTGATACAAGACGACCAGTTACTGTTACCATAGCACCAATGAGGTTTGAAGAATATTGGCTTTAATAACCTGGTCTTTGACTACTTGACAGGGAGGTTTTAAATTGTCCCTCACATTGAAAAAAACCAAATGGTGTTAGACTAAGGTCAAAATTAAACTTTTTATTGTCTGAATTTATTTAGACTATTAAAACATGCTAAACCCATATAAAGTATTCTGCTGACCACAAGAAATAAAAATAAAGACCAAGATCATGTCATTCAGACTGTTTTAATTTTAAAGAAGACAATGCTTCCTGATCATTAGTTTTCTTCACTTCCTTAAAAACTTAACATCAATAGAAAAAACATTAATTCAGAATATTTCCAAGTACATTTTGGAAATGACCTTAGTTCAATAAGTCAAAGCATGCCAGGCTACTAATAATTTTTAAAAATCTTTGAAAAAAAAAGATACTTCATTTAAAAATGCTAGCAGTTGACAGCTGGCTTTCAATAAAGAAGTATCAAATGTAATGACCTCATCAATACCACAGTTGCTGTAACACCATGATTGTATTGTTTACTATAAGCAACACAACATGTTTAAACAAACATTTAAAAAAATATGCACACCTAATAATCCTGGTGTTAAACCATGACAAAGGTAGATGGGAGTTTACCTGTTTACTTAAAAAAAAATATGACAAGAACTTTCATAACTTTTTCATTGAAAAACATCCAATGTAGAAGTTTTACACAACATTATTCCAAAAATGTTTAGGGTCAATAACTCACTACAAAGGAATCCCTAGATTTAATGGAATGTCTATATTACGAATTCATTGATACAGACATCTACTGTTCTACCCTGACATAAACAAGTTGTATGCAAGATTGTCTTCACAAGCTGTAAGCTTAAACAATGAAAATAAAAATTATAAAATTAAAGTATTGCCCCATTGGGGGGAAAAATAGTTTCAGAAAACAGAATGCTAAATGTGCATGCTCAAATGATGAACAAGTTGAGAACAGCAATCTTGTTGACCTTTCACAAGGATTTTTTTAAAATTTTATGAAACATACTTCACATAACAGGTTAATAAGATTAAAATCAAAACTAGTCAACAAAGTTTTTATGTTTTATAATAGCATTTTGGATCTCTATGTTCAGCATTTTAATATTCTTTCACTTAAAATTTTTAACCTTTTCAAGCCAAAAAACCTATGTGTACTGCATTTCTATTAGCTGCAATAGAAATATCCAATTGAACATGGTTTAATACATTTGAAATCAAACATTTGGTAAGTCTCTGATTTTTAAACATGCTTTGCTAAAAACATGTTTTACTAGATGTTTTTTTTTTTTGGAAAAAAAAATAAAGTTTCCATTGTAGCACACTTCTTGATATGTAATTTAATGACCATTTTAAAAAAAACTGAAAATTGAGAGCAAAATAATAAAACCAGAGAAAAAAACTAAAAATCTGCATTTCACTGTCATTAATATAATGCATTTTAATGATGATTGAAATCAAATACACTGTCTATGAGACAGATTTACTGACGTTAAACCATCTTGTTGGTTTAATATACGTAACATTTAATCTAAAAATCCATACCCAATATTTTAAGCAAATTTCAAACTGATATTCTAGTTCTAGTACACTACTCATTTTTTAAATCCATAAAGATTCAAATATTTTGTTATCTAAATTAGCTTAATAAAAGGACAAAATAATTTTAGGTATGGAAACTGAGCACACAAAAAATGTGCCAAGATTTAAAAAAACTGAAATGCACTGATGGAAAAGTCACGGATATTTCTAATATTTGACTGTTTCATTTGATGCTTTTTTTAAAAACCCAAACCAACAGTTAAATATTTTTGTATAGCAAATAATCGGAACTAAATATCAGTAAAGTAGAATGTTCACTCCTAAAAAAAAAAAAAAATATTCACTTAACTGGCCATCATTTCTTAATACAAAGATAGTATGCTAGTTGTTAAATTTGTTTAAAAAAAAAAATAACACCCAAAACAAATTAATTGGAAACCATAACATTGTGATCATGCTTTTAGTCAAATTCACTTTGAAATATTTCCAGTGTAATTTTTTCTTATCTTACCAACTACACCTTCCAAGGTTACATATATTGGTACTAAGAACATTGCTCTACAAAAACTGCTGGAAACTATATCCATCTTTGAACATTTAGTTCCCCTGGATTAAAAGTCATACATACAAAATATTGACAAATGCAAATAGTAGTTATCAGACAGACTGGAGATGGGAAAGTCTGATCATACATGCTATCGCATAAAGGCATGCAAGAGCTACAGATGTGAGGTGCTGCAACAACTAAACAAAATTCTTCTTACTGATGGTTTTTATTATACATTTTCACTAAAAAAATCGTTATCCAAAATATGGGTAAGAAAGTTTAAAACCTTTACCTGAAATTTAAATTAACCTCCCAAAAAAAAAAAACAAAAAAAAAACCATCAGAAGGAGTAGAGGTTTAGAGGCAAGCTTTGAACAAATAATACCTTCACACTGTTTTCAGGTAATGTGTAACTTTAAATGTTCACAGTAGCAGCCCCTCTTCCATTTCCCCTGCTATACATATATGCGTACCCTCAATGAGATACTATTAATAGACATAAGTGACAAGGTCCCTTAAACAGAAACAATGCCATCATTATGAATAACATCAGACTACTACATAAAACATTTTTAATTCAGCTTCAATAAATTGCTGTTTTTTAATAAATTTAAAACAAATTTATTAAATATTTAATAACCCAATGAAACATTTTTAGTAATGGTAGAAAAAAACTTTAGATAAGTCTTATTTTTGTTGCTGGGTTATAGTAATTTATAATCGAATAAACAAAAAATTACAATAATTGGATGTCAACGCTATTTTGCAACAACAGTTTACTTTAAAAAGGTCCTATTACAGCATAAATTGACCACAATTATAAAAAAACTATTTACTAACCAAAATTAAACAATGTCAGTATTTTACTAAACTGAAAGATAAATTTTGATTTAAAAAACTAACCCTTTTTATCATTTCAAATTTTGAGGAAAAAAAAATATATAAAATTCAATGTTCATTAAAACTTTTAACAAAATTTAACTCAGATCTTGATGTGAATGCAGGCAAACTTAACTGTAAAATAATACATACATTCACATGTCAACAATAGATGTCTATAGGATATACATGGACTGGCACTGGAAGTCAATTGAAAAAGTCATAAAAATCAATCTCACGAGTTTGGTTCATTTCACAAGATAAACAAATCCTATCTTTTTATAAAAGCTGACAGCTTGAATTTGGCAGCCTGGCTAAAATTTCGTTATTTCCTTATTAAACATCACAATCAATAAGCATGTCTGAATCAGTCTGACAAAATACATAACAAAAAAAAAAGACAACTTTGAAAAGTGATAAAAAAAAACATGGAAAAAATAGCCAACAAGAAAATCTTAACCCAATACTCATAAGAAAAGAGATATCAACGTAAATTACAGGGCAACATTCGGCTCTGAACCAGATATGCAATCAGATTTTATTTAGGTAGTTTACAATAATGTAACTGTTTAAGCACATCATTTGATTTTTAAAAATGACACCATCAATTATAATAATGAAAGCAACCATAAAAAGGTGTTATATTGTTACTTTCAGTTTTAAGTAAACTGGAAAAAAAAAAAGTGCAAATTGATAGTCTACAGAAAACAATTTGGTGACTAGGATTTGAATGTAAATGAAAAAAGAACATGGCTGTAGATAAGCCAAATAATTACACCCATTATAATTTGTTCTAACTCTGATTTTAATAATAAACCCCTTTGTATTGTAACTCAGACACTTAAAAAAAATTGAAAACTTGGTATTCTCTGGAATTAACCCTTGACAGAACAATTTAATGATGGAAAAGTCCTGCTTTTTCAGTAAAACAAACATTGGTCTCAACATTAGCAAATGAAATAAAAACTTGTAATATCAAATATTTTGCTGACAAGTGTTGAAAAAACTTGCCTTTTATATCTGCAACAAGTTTACTAGCCACATGTCAAGACATCTTAAAATGTATGTCAACAAACTCTCACACCAATTACAAGGACCAAGACAACAAAAGCATAAGAGATTGCACATTATATTGGGAGACATTTACCTCATTAGCATAGATTACTCATTCGCATTACAATTTAAAATATAAAACTGCACAATAGTCTGGCTGCAGATTTACCATGTCCAAATTTTAAACACTCAAAAATTTGTGTCAAATGCCAGCTTTGACAAGGCTGGATTTTTATTGAAAAATTGGTTATATACATCAGTTAGCAAAGGCTATTAATGTATTTATTGGAATGCAGTGCTTCACATGTTTTTGCGTTTATTTTAAACAAACACAAAAAAAAAAACACCCCATTTTTCTGATAACTTTAAAGTCTCATTACAGAAAAACTACTTAAAAATATCAGATTCAAAAAACAATTAAATGACACAAGTCCCCAATTATAGAAACTAATGTGCAACTCCTAGACTTATAGGGCAAAAAGTAAAAAGCTTGAAGTAAACTTTCTATAGTTGATTAACAATCAAAAGCTCGTATTCAGATGAAACCTCAGTTCTCATACATAGTGTAAATCAGATTTCTTTTTATCATCTAACAGGATTTTGCAATGTAATTGGACATTGGGCCCTATTATAATAATTTTTTAAAGTGGAGAGCAAGCAATGAATTGTTTTAGTCCAATGCTACTCCCAACTTGAATAGGAATGAATAATTTCCTTTATAAAAAAAGAGATTCTCTACAATATGCTGCCCTTGGAGCTTAAATAGAATGGCCAGCTTTTCAAGTTCAGTGATATAAATCAGAAGGGACAAAACTTTATAGATAACACCCCAAACTACATTGCTTCACATTAAGTGCCAAAACTTAAAAACAAGTATTTGGTGGCATGCAGCGACCAGATGTCTGATTAACCAAACACCACGCTGCCATTACATTAATCATTTAGTCTATATAAAAAGTTCCTTTTCATATATGTACTAGTGTATAGTCAACACGTGAATGTTTATTCTATTTTTGCACAAATATTGGCAAAATGCACCGGTTTATAAGCAGTAATTTATTTTATCTTTTATGTGGCTGAATACTGCTTGTAAAAAAAAAACATTATCTACATTGTTAAAGGCACCAAAAAATACATACCATGTGAAGCAATTATGGGATTTTTTTATTTAAAAAAAGTTGACTTACTTTTTACGACTGGACAATAAAAGACCTTAATGGAAAAAAAAACATTTGGTTTGGGCCCAATACCCAATATAGCTGAAATATCAGCCATGGTTTTAAAGTTTTTGGCGATCTATAAAAGCATACTGGAGGTGCTTAGGTTATCCGCACAAAAACTAAGTAAACACGTGCCATTATAGCTGTTTAAATATATGACAGTGCACGAATAGCAATGCAGTAACAAATGCTCAACCACTAAATTAGTTTTTTTGTTCAGTAGCATTTTATAATATTCACATCAAGTTAGGTTGATGCTTCTGATCTACTCTTTGTGGCAGAATATTGTTTTATGTGGATAAAAAAGCAATTGTTACGCATTGCATGTTACAAAAGTATAAAACATAATTTTTTTTAATACCATGTTTTTTTGTTTTTTTTAAATTAGTACAATCAACATTTTGTAAATGGCATGGTAATAAAAAAGCTGTTTTAAGTACTTTTTTAGAAACTGGTCCTTAACAATCATAGATCTGTTACATTTTCATAACGATGCAAAAAAGTTTTTGAATTGCATCGAAAGAACTTGGTTTCATCTTCTGTCTTTAAAAGTAAGAAAAGTTACAGAGAACTTATCCCCCTTTCTTTTTGTTTCAAGCTTTGCTCTAGTTTTCACTAAAGCAAATAATGAAAAAAAAAAACGTTTATAAAAAAATATAAAAGTAAATTTAAAAAAATGAAACTTGGGTGAAAGTTTGATGCTTGTTGACATATGCAACCAAATTTTAATGTGTCCTTTTCAATTAATATTGGGATGATGTTTTAAATTCTTTATACAAATATTTACTCCAATATACATTTGTCTGCATACATGTGCACATTAAGTGCATAAATATACACACACATGTACTTACATTGTATATAAGTATACATGTATAAGCATATTTATAAATGTATAGTTATATACAATATAACCTATTTAAAAAAAAAGATGATTCAGAGTTTGAACAAAGCTTCGTATAACACCTCTGGTCCTTGCCGCATGTTTCCCTAGAACATGTAATATTAAAGAACAATCAAGTCTACTACATCATGATAGCTACACAACATGCAGTGAAGAGACCAAGCAAATGGCAAAAGCAGCAGTCTCTTTAGTAATAGCCATGGCAAGTGAAGAGGCATAAAGTGGCTAGTAAAAATAGCTGGTGTCACTAACATGATCTATTGAAGAAGTAGCTTTAAAAATTAGGGAAATAAAACTTTTAAAATTGACTGATTGAAAGTAATCCAACTTCACTTGCCATTGGTAATTGCTTTAAAGATTAATGCAGAAATGCCACAGACTTTAGTTTCCCCACCAATCATTTGCTGGAGCAGAGTAAGTTCCTCCATAGCTTCCTCCATAGTTGTTGTACTGAGGTGGAGGGAAGTTGGGTGTGAAGTGGTTATTAAATGGCTGCTGTCCATTAAATCCACTGCCACCGCCTGGTGGGAAATTTGGCTTCATTGGTTTAGCCTGCTGACGATAATCTCTGCCACCAAAACCACCACCAGTTCCAAATCTGAAAAAAAAAATTTATTTGCAACATTAACACAAAATTACAGAAAATAATTGAAGGTTTTAAGTAATTACCCTTTCAAACCTGATGGATCATTGGGTAGACAAAGAGATCATGTTACTTGACCAAGGTTATGAAGGGATAGTGTGGTCAGCACAATGCCCAACCGACTTTACTTTCGCTAATGAGAGCCAGTACCCCATCAGAGCTGACTAGACTTGCCCAACAAATTCTAGTCAGAGATCTGAACTGAAGACCATCTGGTTACCAGCTGAACACGCTATAGCCAGCCAGTAATTAAGGGTTTAAGCTAACTCAAAGGATATGAATTCAGAAAAAATATTCACCTTCTGACAGAACCACCACCACGTCTGCTCATTCCCACTGATCGAACATCTACAGACATAGATTCTAGCCATGGGGGAATTTCTTGATTAGATTCAGTCAGGAGATCAAGAAGATCACGGACTATGTTTTTGTTTTTCTCATTGAAGAAAGATGTAGCCAAACCTACAAAGTATATTTCAAAATATAGATCTCAAAATTGCCATAACATTGGTTAAGCAATACAATTATTGAAACACTTTATTACCTAAATTTCCGACTCTGCCAGTACGACCAATACGGTGAACGTATTCTTCAATGTCACTAGGTAGATCAAAGTTGATTACATGTCTCACATTAGAAATATCTAATCCTCTGGCTGCAACCTGTAAATGTTCATGCAGACGTTAATAGAAAGGCAACAAACAAGGACCAATAAAGTAATACATTTCTGGATTTCTATCAAGGAAGTCACAGAAAAAATATGAACACTGTCCCGGTAGACATATTTAAACACAAGTATTAAAATAAAAAAATTTCTTACAGCAGTTGCAACCAAAATAGGTCTTTCTCCACACTTAAAGATTCTTAAGGCATCTTCACGTTCCCTCTGTGATCTGTCACCATGAATGCTAGTTGCTGGATATCCTTCTCGTAACAGGAAATCCTCCAGGGCATCAGCACCTTTCTTGGTTTCAACAAAAACCAAAGTCAGGGATTCCGGTCCTATTTATGGATAAAAAATTTAAAAAATGTATTTTTCTTACAGATGATGCTTTATCAATATTAATAATCTTAGTAACGAGTAGAGAGAGTACCGTAAATGGTTATTAAAATTCTCCAAATCAATATTTTAGTAGGATAAATAAACCGGGAGTGATCTCCCCTAAACTTTCTTGAATATCTATATATATAATTCTCTTCTTCGAGCCGTTAGAAAACAAGCTGCAAGCGCGCTCCCTAACATCCCCACCCCTACATGATCTTAGTGAGCTGTGGTTCACGCTATGTTTACCTTCGTGGAGTTGGGTTTAGTGACGGCTATTAGGGGCAGATAATTTAGTTTGAAACGATTTTTAACGTGGGGGTGGGGGGAGGAGGGGGGGGGGTTATGGTCCTTAACGAGCTACTTATAGTGTTTTAAAGAAATATTTTCAGTGTCAGCGTTGGTACTGTCGAATTCACAAATTATGAATTACTGAAAAGTAGAAAAAACAACAACTAACTAGCGGCGTATGTTATGCCGCGGGCCGGCTCGTTGATAATAATATATAACACTACAGGGGATGGCAACTAGGGATATCGACATGAGTTTTAATACATTTTTAATTACTTTTTAAAATAGAATGTCGTAGAAAAAAGAATTGCGCACTAAGTGAACGCCAAATAAAATGTGTATAATAGTGTGGAATATTATTAGTACTTTAAAAATGTATATGCGTTCTTGAGAAATCTGAAAGTGTAAATTACTACTTCCTGTCAAAGGAAATTACTCAAAATTTGAAAGAAGGCAGAGAATTAGATATTTTACTTACATGTGAAATTTCATTTCTCTATTTAACATAGTACGCAAGTTATAGGCTTTTGAAAAATTGAAAGTAGAATAAGTTCCACTTCCGGTATCGGAAATCGCCCAAAAGTTGTTAAGGATATACGATTTTGATATAATACTAATATATGTGATTTCATCAACCTAGCTGTAACGGTACTCAAGTTATCGTATTCACAGACACACACAGAAATATGGACAAGATTGCAAAACTATGTTTTTCCGACTCAGGGGCAAATCTTGATTTTCCTTTTTTTGCACAATTTCAATACTTAATACTTTGTATACAAAAAACCAAAAACGATCATAAAAGTAAAAACAAATTAAAAAATTGTTAGAACTATAGTCAATTTAAAGTGGAAATTTTAAAATCAAAAGGCAACACAAAAACAGTTGTTAATATAAACTTAAAAACAAAAGCTAACTCTTACTTGGAGACCCTGCACCACTTCCTACATTGATAATACAAAGGAAAGTCTATTCATTCTTAACTACTTAACCTATTTTGTTCAAACATTAAAAACTACAAAACGGTGTGTAGAAGCCAAACAATATCAGATAGTTGCAAAAATTAAATATAGGACATATATAAGCCATTTGCACAGCACACAGATGTTTTAATAATTACATTTCACTAAATAAATGTTTTAAAGAACACAAGACCACCAATACTTTTAACAAGTTAAGCCAGACATAAACTAAATGACCTTGTACTTTAATAAAAAAAAAGGTTTAAATAATCATTATAGATAAAAAAAAATGTACTAAATATAAAGAATGCACAAACGAGTTACAACATGAAAAACAGTTTACAGTTACAAAACTCTCACCACCTGCAGCATTCAATAGATCCAACAGGAAAGAGCGTTTTTCCTGTTCTTCAACCCAGACAACTTTCTGAGTTATATTCTCACTGGTACTTCCAACACGGCCAACAGCAAGGAAAATGTAATTTTCCAAGAAATCCCGAGCAAGTACCTGGAATTAGCACAAAAAGTTGAAAACGAAAAAATCAATTCAACACCTTTAAGATTACAAAATTCATAACAAAACTTTAAATAAAACTTAGCTCACCTGAATTTCTTTTGGGAAAGTGGCAGAGAACATATTAGTTTGTCTCTTTCCACATGGGGGCATATTGTCTTTTTCAACTATGCGACGGATCTGTGGTTCAAAACCCATGTCTAACATTCTATCTGCCTCATCAAGTACTAGAAACCTTTGCAACAAATAAATTAAAATTATTATATTTATAAAACATGTAGCTTTTCTCTTTCAAAAGTTAATTCAGAACAGTGATTTAAAAAAAAAATGCACTTACTTGCAATGATCAAGTCCCACTTTTCCTCTCTCCATCATGTCGACAAGACGACCAGGTGTAGCAACTAATAAATGACATCCTTTGTCCAAGTCACGCATTTGTGCACCTATATCTGCTCCACCATACACTACACATGGCCGAACTCTGGATCTATATGCAAACTACACAAAAAAGGAATTTTTAAATATGAAAATTGTTTTGTTAAATGTGGAGACGAACAAAATGTTTACTAGAATGAAAAAGAAGGTAGTACCTTTCTGGCTTCATCGTAAATCTGTGATGCTAATTCTCTAGTAGGTGCAAGAACAAGAGCAATAGGAAACATTTTTCGTCTACCATACTGACGACCCCCAGGTTGATTGCCAGACTCTCCAGGTCCCATTTCATAAATTTGATTGAGAATAGGAACAAGGAATGCAGCGGTTTTTCCAGAACCTGTAACAAACGATTCGATGAGTGAGTGCAGAATATCATTTAACCTTTACTGAAAGACATTTCAGTATTGTAGAGGAGTGTTTCAGAACAACTGTTCAATATCAACAAATACTTCATACCTGTCTGAGCACAAGCCATAAGATCTCTTTTCCCCAAAATGATTGGAATAGCAAACTTCTGAACAGGGGTTGGCTTGCTGTATTTGCTGAGTGCAATGTTATTGCGGACAATTTCTCCCATGTTACAGTCTTCAAACTATAAAAAAATATTAAAAATAAGAAGTTGATACTGGAATTTTTCAAAAGTACAATATTTACTGTGCCCAAGTTGATTTTTCTTGAGACAATGTCTCTTAAGACTAAAAAACTTTAATAGCATCAATAAACTTTTATGCCATTATAAAAAAACCATTCTACAAAACATCTCACCTGAGTGAAAAAAAGGATCATTACTACAATCTATAGCAATCTTTCATTTTTAAATGTGTAATTTAATGTTGAACAAGATTAAACATGACACTTCGAAGTCATAAGAAACCCACTTATCTAGAATGTTTGAAAGACTTACATTTTCAATGTGCTTTGGACAATTGTCACCGCTTGCCTCAACTGGAATATCTTCATACTTATCAAAATTGATTCCAGTATTTCCTGCTCCAAACAATTCACTAAAACAAAAACAATATTCCAGTAATAAATATAAATAAGTAATGTAGAAAGTTTATGCAAGCACTTAGTACAAAATAAAAGGAATTAGAGCTACTTAGAAACAAGTTGAAATACATAAAATATTTTACAAAAGTGCTTACTGCTCTAATCTCTCATTTCTGGGAAGTGGGATAGACCAATCCTCCTGTCTGTTGTCATTGCCATTATTTTCTTCCCTGTTATCCCAGCGATTGTACCCTTGTCCACCCATACGACGTTCTCTATCACGATCTTCTAGTAGTACATCCCACCTGTTACCACCACCACCTGGAGGAGGAGGTGGGGGAGCACTTCCTTGCCTATTCCACCTTTCATTGCCACCTCTATTTAACAGAATAATACATGTATTATAATAAGTATTGAAGATAAAAAAAAGGTAATATTAACACTAACCTGAGAATGAACAACTCTCAAAACATTGTTTTGGATATAAATGTCTTAAAAACTTCACAATTTTTCACTTCAAATTTGAATGGACGAAAACAACAAAAATCACGAACTTTCACCAAAAATTTTCTACTGCATCCACAAAATTTAACTTCATATCTATTTAAAGAGTAAAGTCTAACCTAATATAATAATTGAACTGAGTGGGTAAAAAATCATGCAGTTAAATGTCTACATTTGAGAAAATAAAGTGGTGGTGGAACTTTTATGCCGCAAGGCTTTAAGTCATGATTTTAAAATTATCAAAAAATTAAATTGTTAAAACCGTATGGATACATAATAAAGTTAGTTACTTAAAACTACAGCTAACCTACATTAATAAAGAAATATTTTCAGTAAAATAATTAAGTATTAGATTGCTCGCCACTTTATAGTAAAAAAAACTATGTCAATGTGACAATTTACTAATAATATCCAAATTTTAACACTAAGTGAGAATTAAAAATACTAATAAACTTTAATATTTTATTATATTCTCTTTGATAGTGAACCATTTTTATTTTGATAAAATGCATAGGGAAAAAAAAAACTAAACAATTCAGAGGTCTAGACCGCGCTGTGCTCATATTTTCTTTGTAAAAAATTTTGTGATCAAGATGGACACATTATTTCATTATTGCACTTTGCCATTTGTGCAATTAAATAGAAAAATGGTTTCTTTATAACCTTTCTAGTAAATTTTTAAAATTTTTAGTGGATGTTGGGGAAAATTCAATTTTGAGAACTTAAGTAATTGGTATACATTTTATAGGAGACTAAAGGTTATACAATCCTGAGTACGTTAAGCTAAGTTTAGAATTTATACGACATGGCGCTGAAGCAGACACAAAGGAATGGCGCAGGGGTAAAAATGGGCCAGTCTTTTGCCACTAAAAATTAATGAGGTGATGTTCTTCGAGCTACTAACACCTGTATTCTTTTACCAATATAAAAACAAACAACATATTACTGTAGAGCCTAAGTTATACTTTCAAACCGTACCATTTTTATTAGTATACTCATAATTTTAATGGGAGAATTTTGAGGTGGGAAGTAGTGACAAAAGTAACAAAGTATAAGCAGAAACTTTGATTTTCTGCATTTTGGAGTACCAAATATAATATTCCCTAGTAATGCATTTAAAATACTACAAGATGACATGGAAACATGGGAAATGGTAGAGATAAAGTTAAGACTAGCATTTTAAAAACAAGCTACATTAAAAGAACAGGTAGATTAAACCCATGCATGCGAAAACAATGGCTTTAGATGCAAATTAGCTGCTTGAGAACATTGACAAGTAAAAAAAATTCTTTAAATATTGAAAAAACAAGTAAAATGAAAAATTGTGAAATTTGGAACATTCACACAAGTGATGATTGTTAAGGAAATTATTGAACTAACTTGTCATTGTATTGGTAAGCTCCAGCATTGTTGCCTCCACCACGACTAAATCCTTGATTTCCACCACCTCGTCTCTCATAACCTCCTCTATTATCTCGATCATTGTAACTAAGACAAAATATTTTTTTAAAAATATATGCATGGTAATATGAAAAAATGTAAATGTGTTTAGTAAAAAGATGTGCTTATTTCTTATATATACCATCAGGCAATATTTATTACATTTAATAAATGAAAAAGCATTTAAGTAGGAACTTTTGCAGCGTGATTTGTTTTGCTGTTACATTTTATGGATAACAGCATGAGCATAACACTAGAGAGTAAGGACAACAAATTCCCATACTGTAAATTTCACAATTAGTTTTCCAGAACATAGGAACCCTTGGTTTTACTCTAGGTAAAAAAAAAAAAAAACACTTCTACACAGGATTAGAAATTTTCTAGACTTTTTGGGACAAAAACCAGACTTTATACAGATAATGCTTAAGTGACATAAAACAATGTAAAATTTAAAATATCAATTTAATTACAGTATTGATGGTAGGTACATTTCTTTCAGGTAGCAGTTAAGTGTTCAATGAACATTTTAAACATCTTGAAATTTGTATAGACATATAATACAACTATTTCAGATGAATTAGCCTTGGCACATGACATTTGACTTAGATAGTAGTGCAGGGGTGCCACTCATTTTTTAAGTGAATTCTGAAAATGAATCCCAAAATTTTACCAACCCTGAAACTAAACTTTGAAAATTTTGAAACCCTGAAAATTAATTTCGCGCAGAATTTCAAAATAAAATGGACTATTATTTCATTATTTTTTGAGACATTTGATTCATATTATGTTAAATTTACAATCCTTTAAAATGGATTTATTTTCTTTGTAACAAGCTTCAAATAAAAATTAAATCTTTAAAGGATTAGTTTACAATGTAGTCTTATCTCTAGACCTACCCCATAATGTGCTATTGTAGAACTCCCCCCCCCCCCTGCCAGCTTTTATAACATAACTGTATTTAATTTTTTTTTAGAACTTCCTAGCTTGATTTAAAGTGTTTAGTCAGCCAACTGTTATTTGTTAAGTAATAAATATTTTGCTAACCTCAAAGTCTTGTTATTGAATAATAAGCCCACTATATGCAGACCCCTAATAAGATTGTCACTGTATTAAATACAGGGTTGACTTACTGTAGCTATTCAGGGCTTTAATTATTAACAGCCACAACAAAAACCTAAACTCTTTTCCCAATCAACCACCAATGGGGTCATCCATAAATGATGTCATGCTTTTTTGACGATTTTTACCTCCCCCTCCCCTCTGTCACATAATGTCACAAAAAGCCAGACCCCGCCCTCTAAAATGACGTTACACACCCCCCCCCCCACCAAAAAAAATAAATTGCAGTCGAATTTTTCTTAAAATACAATATTTTTTCCAAAAATCTTGTCTGACCTCTGTCAACATAGAGTATTTTGATCAATTCCTATTACACTTTATTGAAACAATATTCTAAAACGCGAAATAACGGCTAAAATTAGTTTTCTAACATAGCTTTTGGATAATGCAAAAGTGTGATGTCACACCATCTAAACCCCACCCCTTACGAGTGTGATGTCATTTATGGACGACCCCAATGTCCCCACCTTTGATATACATAATGACGTGAAGAAATATCGTGGAAGTTTTAAGTTCATATCGCGGAATAACAGAATTAAGTTAATTTTAAAAATAATTTCAGAAGTAACTACGCTAGTAATACTCATGTCAGAGATGTAGCCGCCGAAGTGAAAAGCGGACTTTTTTACAAGCGGTTGGGAGGGGGCAGTGATAGCGGCTATTTTCTAAAACATGGTACTTCAATGTTTTTTAAACATTTCAATGACGTTTTACCAAAGTAAAAAAAAAAACAATTAGATGTAGACCCCGCCAGATCGTGTAACTAAATTATAGCAGGCCTACATATTTTGTTTAATGATATAAAACGATGCAGATCTTTTCTTGAATCTAGAAGTAGGCCCTTATTAAAAATAACCACATTAAAATTAAACAGCGCTTGTACTTGTAGAACTGCCTTGACCATGAGACATGACTCAGAATGTGTTCGCATGACGTAGGTCTTACGGTCAGTGCGACCTTGAAGAAGCGGGTAAGAGGTGGTAAAACAGCAGAGTTCTATTTTTTTTAGATCGGAGCAAAATCTTTCGGTATTTTTTTTAAAGACGATCGGCTAGATCTAGTACTGTTGGATTTAGTTTTTATTACACAGCCTAGCGTTATCCCATTGATGACATCACGTAAATAATGCAAATTTTACCCCAACCCATATCGTCATAAATAGCCAGCCACATTACGAATGACATCAAAAAGTTCCGTGTACAGCCTCACCCATCTAATACAGCCGATTTGTATTTGATCACGCGCACTGGTGAGATTGTTGCTGTCGTCATTTACTATTCGCTTTTTCTGAAAGGGTCATTAGCGGGAGTCTTGACGATAAAAACGATTTTTACAATGCCAAAATTTTCAAGCTTAAAACAATCTTAATTTTTTTTAAACTGCAAACCCGGAAATTTTCAAACTCAAATCTTGCAAATCTGGAAAGGGAAAAAAAATTTGATTCTCGAATCCAGGATATCCCAGAGAAGTGGCACCCCTGGTAGATTACTTTAAGATTTGTAATTTTATCACAGCAAACAAGATCTATAAAATGCCATCAATTATTAATTAATAATACCAGAGATGGATATTGTCAAATTTTACTTCCAAAACCAAATTCCAGACTTTTTGACCAGCCCAAAAGCTAGCCTGTCTACAGAAACAAAGCTACTTACCCACTTCTTACACCAGCACTTCCACCTCGACTGTTGTTATAACCTCCTCTATCATTGTAGCTGCCTCCTCTATCACTGTTGTAGTTGCCACGATCATTGTAGCTACCTCCACGATCACTATTGTAGTTACCCCCCTTGTCAAGGGCTACACGATCATTTCCTGCTGAAAAAACAAATGGAAATGCCTTTTATACATGTGGTTATGGATAGAGATTAAAACGACAATGATTATCTGATATACCAAAATTAACATTTTTCAAATAAAACATTGATTCCAATCAAATACTATATTTTGCAAGGAGACAAGAATGCTTTTATACATATAGATGCATTTTTAAAAAAATAGACTTGTAAAGATTATGAAATGGAAAATGTTAAACCATTTTAAATCTTACAGGCTTAGTTACCATTTTTAAAGTTTGAACTTTTTTATCTAATAAAATTAAAACATTAAATTTCTTAAGTATTTAAACATTTTAATACACTAGGCTTAAATCATATATATTCCTTATGATTATAAACCTGCACACACATTTTATATTAAGTAAAATGGATGTTCAAGGTAATAAGATTTTTTTTTTTAATGTAACTAGTATAGACTACCAATAACAAGTATGTAACTAAAAGATGAAACTAGCCTTATTATGTAAAATTCCATATTTTAAAGGAAAGCTATTAAATTAAATGTACATTCATTTTACATTACATTAAGGATAAAGTTTTGAGCTTGTACTTAAGAACAAAATATACTGCCTCATATTGAATAAATATGGAACAGAATAAGGCTATGCATTGATAAGTATATTGAAGAGAATAGTAGATGGATTTTTCAGAAAAAATGGATAGATTTTTTCGGAAAAACTCACCGAACCACCTTCCTCCGTCACGAGGTGGTGGCCCTCTGCCCCCGGAATTTCCCCAATTACCTTGTGGGGGCAAAGATGCATTGGGATGCCCAGGAGGGGGCTGACTCAAGTTGGGCATACCACCCCCACGAAGATGTGGAGGGACGTAACGACCACCACCTGCTTGTGATTTAAAAAGCCATTGTTTACACACAAAAAAGGGCTTTAATGTATATAAACTATTTCTAAATAATATTGATATGAAAAATTCATTTACCATATAATTTACTTATATGGATTATACTTAAAAACAAATTAAAATTTTGATCAATAAATAGAGATTTTGAAAGGTAAGCAAATTATTAAACATTCAACAGTAACAAATTCTTCAAGAAGTACTAAAACTCAAAACAATAGACTAATAGAATGATTTAAAATTTCAAATCTAATACTTAAGGCAGGCATAAATCGTACCAAAGCCACCATGCTGTCCATCATAGTCTTGATTGCGAACAGGGCCATTTATGTCCAGCCCAGCAAACTGGAGAAGAAAAGTACACTTATTAAGGCTGCATAATAAAGCAATACCTTAAAAAAATATTTTGGTAAACATTTGGCTCAATTCTTATGTACAATTATGTGACATTTAATAATTGGGATTCATGAGCCATTTGTGTTTAAATGACAAGAAGCAGCTGCTTTTTAAAGTAACAACTAAATTAAGCCAAATATTTGTATTTTAATAGTAGAGTATCAATTAGCTAAGGTAGATAGAAATGCAGAAATGCCTAACCCTAGCAGGTGGTCAGGTAACAGAAAATGTCTATGTAGGCTTGTGATAATTTAAAAAAATAGAATTTGTTATGACAATAAAACACACAAATAAAAGATTATCCAAGTATGCAGAAAGAGCACAACAGGTAAGAGACAAAATGTCCAAATTCAATTAAACTGCGCTGTTACATTTGATACAGCCATCCTATTCATAGCTGCATAAATTCATGAAAGAAACAGCTAACAAGTAACATTGTCATTAACATATACCGAAAACTGCCTTAACGAATTTAAAAAGCGCGACTACCAAAATCTACCATTGAAAACTTAATTTTAATAATAAAAAAAAAACATGAAACAAATAAAAACAAATGGAAAAGAAACAAATAATCTAGAAAAAATAGAAAGTTTTTTCTGGCTCTTATACTTATAAAATGGAACTACTTTGAAAATGATATGGGGCATTAGTAACTAAAAGCCAACACAGTTTAATGGGCGACTGAGTTTGACAGAAAATGTGCACAGGGGAAGTACCATCATGCTGTTTGTTAATAAATATGATATAAATGTAAAATGGGCATTTATGATGGACAAACTTAAGGTATTCATGTAGATTTAGTTATTATCTAACAAATTAAATCATGATCTTGATCAGTCAAGTTTTACTCTGATAATGATAAAAACTTTATAGCATGGTAAAACCGGACAAATGTGGGCCATTTTGTTTTGGCATCAACAATCACTGTGGAAAAAAAATATTCATCAAAATAAAACTATTCTAGCCGTAGTTATAAAAATTGTGATAAAATGTACAGCAACCAATGCTTTAATACAGGAACAAAGGGTGGGCTTGAAAAGTGAAGTTTCATAAGTTACGTCTACTTGAAAAAAAAAAAGTTCACAAAATGGTTTTATGGAGATGAGAAATTTTAAGGAAAGAGCAGTGGGATTGATTCCTGTCTCATCTTCTCACTGCTGGGCCAAGTGGGTCATAAATTACATAAAATGAATCCTCTGCTTCTCTGTTATCAAAGAACAGCAGTGGTTGTTGCCTCAGGAGTAGATTAGTAGTTTAATTGGGTTTTTTGTTGGGGTGGGGTGCTGATCGGGTCCTAATAACACACTGCTCTTTGTGCCCTGCTGTACCCAATACGTTTGATTAAAATTTTTAAATTAGAGCTAGAATCTAGATCTATTATGTGCAAAATTAATAGCAAACTATAGATCTAGCTGTAGGCATAGGCCTAATTAAATTTTCTGTAGGCCCATTATGTCATAAGCTGATATTGTAACTGTTATTTTCTAGATCTAGGCCTACATGATTTTTCAAAATACATTTTTTTAAAAATTCAGTTTCCTGATGTTGCTTTTGTTCCTTGTGTTTATCTCCCAACAATAATTTCTGTTAGGCCTATCCTATTCGCCCCATTAAAAAAAAAAAAAAATGATTTCTCAGCTTCTAATTGAGCTAGCAATGTAAATTAAGTATCTACATAAAGCTAAATTTCAACATCACGAAACTAACAGGTTTATAACGTATTAAACTCACTAATTATATCTAATGCTACACTAGATCTAGATCTCCCTACTCTAGACAGTAGAGTGAGTAGAGTAGGCAGACTGCAAACTGCAAGTCTAGCTAAAATCTTGATTCACCAATCAACCGATAAAAAAAATACAAAATTTGTCTATAGATCTAGAATGATTTTAAAAACAACGTAATTAGTTCTGGATAGCATAAAACATTCAATGTAGATCTAGATCTTACTCATAAATTAATTTTTTATTTTTAGTGCCACGATGGACTTTCATTTCTTGCAGTCACACTGCGCCATCTTGAATTTTCAAGGACTGATAAAAGAATTCACTTATATTCTAGGTAAATGAAAGAGTGGAATAAAGATATATATCACGAATTCTTGATAAATAAATAAGTAATATCAATAATTTAAGTATGAATGTACCTGCTGCTCTAGACCAGGACCATTTTGATTAGAACCATTAGGCATATTACGAAGCTGTGATGAAACTCTAAGCAAAAAAGGGAAGATGGACCAATTTTGATCACCCAATGTAAAAAGGACTACGTCTGATCACGTGACACGCAGACGTTCTTTCGAGTCTTTGTTGACGGTTAATTATAAAAACTGAAATATGGTAAAAATTACTGTTGATAAGACATAATATTTGTATATGTATAGATATACATCTAAATACATCAAATATATAACCAAATACATAAAAAATGAATTACATATAGATAACAAGTATCTCATGTTAGTTTATAATAATACCTCCCAACACAGATTACTGTAAAAACTTTGAAACTGTTATCATGAAAATAATTAAATTGTGTCAATGTAGGCCTATGTTGATTTGTAGTTGCAGTAAAACTTGTCCCATTATCATTTTATGCCTAAGGTTATTTTTCAAAATGTAGGCCTATAGATTCTATAATCTATATTTATTTCAATATATATATATATATATATATATATATATATATATATATATATATATATATATATATATATTGATACAGTTACATGCATATATAAATATACAAAGGACAGATTGAGGATGACGTGAAATCCACTTTTACAATCCACTTTTACAATTATTAGCCTTTATTTTGACGTAAAACAGAGCTATATGTACATATAAATCTTATAGAAACATAGGCCTAGTTTTATGTACAAAGAGGTGGGTGAGGTATAGTTGGTCGGGGATGGGGGTTTATGTGCATTTTTTTAGCATGCCTATAGGCTATAGTTGGTGGTTGACCGAGCTGCAAGTTTAATGTTTTTAATTTATGAATCGATTTTTTTAAAAAATAAAAAGTTCAGCAAAGATGTTTGGTTTTATTTAAATTAATTTTGTTGAAACTACTCCAAGCACATAATATAAAACTCGAAAGAACCTCTCCCAAAAAGATAATTTTATATATTCGTTTCCTCAATTCTTAATTCACTCCAAACAAGAATTAGTATGGACACAATTTTGATCTTTCCATCTTTCTTATGTGTTTAGGGACAAACGTACCAGCTGTTACCCACTACAGTTTTTTTTTCCTTTACTGTAGTTTTCCAGTTTTATTTTTATCGGATCAGTTGGATCTATAAAATCTCTTTTATGATCATTTTCTGTGACCTTAACAAATAATTTAATAGGACACGCACCAAAACGCCATTATATATATATATATATATATATATATATATATATATATATATATATATATATATATATATATATATATATATATATATATATATATATATATATATATACGAATATGTGGCATGATTTGACAAATACTACAAAACGTGTTTTAACATTAATGACATATAGATCTAGGTCGTTTTACGTAATTTTAAGCGATGTTGTAAGGCGGTGGACCTGGTAAAAGTTATCTTCTCCTGGGGAAATAATAGCCGGTGGCGCCACTGTCAAATTAGTAGGCAACATTCTCTTTGTCCTTTGAACCAAGCCAAATACTTTAAAAATAACTTAAAGTGGAAGGGAAATAAACGATAAAAAAGATGTTAAAACAGTAATAGTAAACTCCCTTGATACATCTATACAGTGTTATAATATTCCCTTAATAATAATAGCGTTAGTATATTTAATTTTATTTAATCGTTGTCACAAGTCACAACAGTTGTATGTAACATATCCGCATGTATAAAACATTACTGATTTTTTTTTAAATGGAGAGAAAACGTTATTCTAAATTACGATTTACTTAATTAATTATTAGTTTATTAGTTGCTGACGAAATAAGGACCAAATAAGAGACGTCGCGGGGGAGTTTGGGGTTGACACTATTTTTTATTGGGGGGGGGGGGGGTAGGGGATTGACACCTAGGCATAAAAATTGTAACATCTATAGAAGGAATATATATATATATATATATATATATATATATATATATATATATATATATATATATATATATGTGTGTGTGTGTGTGTGTATATAATTTATATATATGTATATATAATTTATATATATACTACATATATATATATATATATATATATATATATATATATATATATATGGTGCCCTGTCAAAACGGCCCGGGACAAATCGGCCCCGTCAAAACGGCCCCGTTAATACGACCCCCGTCAAATCGACTCCCGACAAACCGACCCCGTCAAAATAGCCCCGTCAAAAGGGCCCCGACTTATTGGCTCCCGTCAAATGGGCTCCCGTCATATTGACTTGCGACATATAGGCTCCCGACAAATGGGCTCCCGATATTTAGGCTCCCGACAAATGGACTCCCGACATATTAACCCCTGACAAATAGGCTCAGGACATATTGGCTCCCGACAAAGCGGCTCCCGACATATTGGCTCCCGACATAAGGGCTCAAGACAAATGGGCTCCCGGCAAATGGGCTCACGACATTTTGGCTACCGACAAATGGGCTCCCGACATATTGGCTCCCGGCAATTGGGCTCCCGACATATTGGCTTTTGACAAAATGACTCCCGACATATTGGCTCCAGAAAAATGAATGATATGACCACTATTGGCATAAAAGTAACCATTGTGTCCTACCTCCAATACCACCATAACCTCTTTTTAATGCCCGAATGAAATTATTTTTTCACCAATTCTAAAGTTTTGATAATGTTTAATTTACAACAGAAAAGATCTGTTGCTAAAAAGCGAGCACAGAAGTGTAAATGTATGATATACATGATGTTAACATGATAATAGCATTTTGTTTTGATAACCTACAAGCACAGTGGCGTCGCTAGGTCGGGTCTCACCCGGTGCGCTCTTCGTATTGTCACCCCCTCCCAGGAAACAAAGCATATATATATATATATATATATATATATATATATATATATATATATATATATATATATATATATATATATATATATATATATATATATATATATATGTGTGTGTGTGTGTGTGTGTTTCGGCCTACATAGGCCTAAAATTTATATATATGCCACATACTGGTACACGTACGTGTTTAAGCTTTAATCACTGCTGACTTAATAATAACGACGTTTATCTACAGTCTGTTTATAATACAGTTGGATGTAGCATTGTTTTCTTTATAGTTTACGTTTACGTCGTGGTGTCACACACCCCCCCCCCTCCCTCTTGATATAATTTTCGATTTGTACTTAGAAGACTATTTAACTTTAACTAATGGATCTGGAAAACGGCATTTCATTCTATAAATTTTACAATTTTTTGCCTTTGGTGTCACCCCCCCCCCCTAAATGGTGTCACCCGTTGCGGTCCGCACCCCTCGCCTCGCCTTCGCTACGCCTCTGCGTTAGGCTACAGAGGAGTTAAACGAAGAGATCAACTTCTACTTACGATGGATGTTTTTTAATATATAAATATTCTGAAGGCAACATTTTGTATTTTATATGTCCTGATTATGTATTTATACTATATTATTATGCTTGCCTACTACTGCTAAAAAGTTTATTTATAGGCTGATTCTCTCAATGTCTTGCACGACAAAGTGATATAGCCTGTAGTGTTATTATAACGATTGGGCTCTGTTTGACCCACAAACACTGAATCCCACTGCCGAAACGGTGGGGGGGGGGGGGGGGGGGGGGGCTTTTTGGAACTTTTAACCTTTTTCTTTTTTTTAAATTATTTATATGTAACAAATATTAAAATTCCATTGTAAAAGTTTTAATTTTTTATGAGGGAAAAGGGCCCCCATGCCTTGCTTACGCTAGCTTTACGGTAGCTACGCCACTGTGTCAGTGGTCCTTTTGTCTGGAGCCAAATTGACAGGAGCCTTTTTGTCGGGAGCCAAAATGACGCTAGCCTATTTGTCGGGAGTCGTAATGACGGGGGCCGTTTTGTGGAGAAACTAAATGGCAGGAGCCTATTTGTCGGGAGTCGTAATGACGGGGGCCGTTTTGTGGAAAAAACTAAATGACGGGAGACTATATGTCGGGAGCCAAAATGACGGGAGCCTATTTGTCAGGAGCCTTATTGACTGGAGCCCTTTTGTCGGGAGCCTATATAACGGGAGCCTATTTGTCGGTAGCCTAAATGACGGGAGCCTATTTGTCGGGAGCCTATATGACGGGGTCCATATGTCGCTGGCCCTTTTGACGGGGCCGATTTGACGGGGTCGTTTTGACGGGGTCGTTTTGTCGGGGTCGTTTTGACGGGGCCGTTTCGTCATTGGCCGAATTGACGCCGCACGATATATATATATATATATATATATATATATATATATATATATATATATATATATATATATATATATATATATATATATATATATATATATATAAAATTGAAATTGGTATCACCCCCACCTCTCATTTTGCCTAATTGCGTTTATTTGTGCAAACATTATATTAATTCACCTATTAATTCATGTAGGAAAAATCATCGTTTTCATCTTAAATTATTATATTTCGCGTCACCCCTTCGTTGATTTATTCATCAGTCATTAAATTCTCTCGCCAAAACCCGGGTGATAGCTTTAAAGGGTGCTCATTTAATTGTACGATGTATATCTATAGTCCGTTATTAATACAGCTGGATCTATCATTACTTTCTCTAGTAGTTAGCAACCTCACGTCATGGTGTCTCCCGTCGCCCCCCTCCCCCGCCCATGTCGTGTTTGTCAATTAGTACTTAAAAAAGCATTTAACTCTACATAGTAATTAATAGAACTACAAAAGCATTTTTCTTCAATTTAATTTGCAATTTTTGCCTTGGTGTCAACCCCCCCCCCCCTCCTTAAATGATATCACCCGAGGGGGGGGGGGGTTCACGCCTATGTATAAATAGTCTATAAGTTTCTCCGTGGTGGACAGGGGGGAGGGGGTGCGACACCATGAAATGCCGAACCGGGTGACACCCGACCTAGGGACGCCACTGAATCAATTTAAATGCTTTATTCGAGTGTCTGAATAGCTACGCAGAATAAAGGTCAGTCACATACAACTGAACAGTGTCAAAAGTCTAGATTTTTAAATAAAATGATATATGTGATATTATTGCTACATGCTATGTGACTACGTGCTACTGCTGCATACCTTTGTGACGTCGTGTGACTGCCTAAATTTTGACG